AGAATCTCCTACATTTTTTTTTTTTTTTAAATGGAGACATCTTTGCTAAAGCTGTGAGACAGAATTCTCTCTGAGCAGCCATGGCCCATCCAGGGAGATGCTCACCCACACCCGGGCATTGAAGAGAGGAGCAGTCATCATGGTGGTGTCAGTGCTCACGATTACTGTGACATCATCACTCAATGTGAGGGAAGAATAATTGCGGTGTAAGTTTGAGTTGCAGACTGACAGTGCAGTTTGGATTACTTGTGGTCCTTTGTCCCTTGGGATGTTGAGCACAGTGCACAAGGCCACGTGGGCAGCCTGTGGAGGTGTGCACACTTAGGGCAGGCAGCATCCTCAGGCAGCTTGGTGGCTGGTTTCTGACAACCCGCAGAGGTCACGCAAGACTAGCTTTGGTTTTGTTTTTCCCAGGGGCTATATAACTAAATCTGGACATATCAGGACAGGGAAAGCTAAAGGCCTTACTGCACCTTCGAATTTTTAGCATGGATAAAACACTCCAACAGTGTTCTTGTAGATGTCTGAACAATTTTTCTCAAACGCTGAAATAATTCACCCCAGACAAATACCTGGCAGTATACGTTTCAGTCTGAGTTCTTCGGCCGACAAAGCTATCACAAACTGAAAGGTCCTGTAATGGAAGAAGTTTAGGCAGCTGCAGCTATGAGCTTTGTGAATGGTGTCACCTAAGGTAGAGGTGCAGGATGTGGCAATGGGAACTGCAACCCCAAAATGTGCTATAAAGAGTGATACGTTCCACAGGTCGTATAAGAAAGAAAGAAGTGTTCCTTCTCAAACCAGTGCCTCTTTCTTAAAGGCTCCAAATTCAGTACTTGCAAAGTTTGTGATTGCTCTGAATAGATTAAATGTTAGAGGCATTTAAGAATGATGTTGTTTTCATTCTGGTTTTCTAAAGAAAGTCTTATGTGATCATGCCGTCCGGCAATTTCAAGCAAATGTGGCAGATGGGAGGAAGCATCAGAGATTATTACCTACCTAGAAACTTTATAATAACCTATGATGGAATACCAGAGGAAGGTCCAAATTAGTGGCTTTGCTTTGTATTAGATGGTTGGCAGTTTAACACGGTGCGAGCTTATGGAGAGAGCCCAGTATAAACCCGCTCACCAGCACGCACGTAGCCCCAAGCACGGCTGCCTCCTGCTGACTGTGCAGCCACAGGACTGCGGCTGAGGAAGGGGGTCATTGCAGTACAGTGAGTGCTGAGGGGACAAAAAGTACAACTCTTCAGTCAGCCCCGTTTCATTAGATCCTACTTTTGCAGAACTACTTTCAAAAATTTCCTCTGGCTGCGCTGTGATCCTTTGGAGTCTGGCATCGTGCTGGCGAGTGCTCAGGCTACAGACGCGCTGCGTGTGGCAGTCGTGACATTTTCTGCTCTGCAGATCAGGGTTCAGTGTAATTGTTACCAGGGAGGTCTGCTTTGTTGTGGTGGTGCCAGCCCAAACGCCATATAACCAGGGTCAAAACCATAATCACTACGGCTCACACAGGATCTAGAGTCTTCCCTCATTATGGGCTCATCTTTTGTGCTTCAGCGTCTGCTTTACGATTATGCGCCTGTGGGTGCTTTAAAGAATCAGCAGCAAAATCGGTGATTGCATTGATGATTAGGAAAGGTTTTCTTTTGATCAATGTGATGAGACAACGGGAAGGTGCTATATTCAGTCCTACCAAAGAATGTGCCTGACAGAGCTTGTGGCTGGTCCACCTCTAGAGAGCAGTGGAAATGCTCTGCTTCATTAAGGTGGAGAAGAGATTCTCATAAATGCCCTGTTTGCTCGCTGGAGAGGAGAAAACCTGAAATCCTGTGTTAGTACAAAATAAGAATAAAATAAATATAAGAAGTCTGGGTAAGACTCCAGTTCTGCAGCTTTAAATAAAGTGAAATGTCAAAGAATTGTACACACACTTTTCTTTTCTCCTTAGTCATTCAGTGAAAGGTGGAGTAGTTAAGTCTGTGGCGCCTTTAAAATGATTCATTATTTCCATAGAAGCCAATTCATGTTTATCCTTCAAATCGCTTTGTGGACATTAAAATAATGGAGAATTATATTTGCTTTTAATTTTGTTTCCAGACAGCTTGGCCTGAGCATTCATGATGTGACTTGGAAACTATATCAAATCATGATTTATTGTTGCTCGTAATTGTGTGAAGATTGAAGATATGCTGGATGCTGCTTTTTTCCCCTTTTTCCTTCTTGCCTCCCCCATTCTTTCACTTACAGAGTGTTCTTGAGTGTAACATGGTGAAAGGCCAGCATCTCTTGCCTTCAGCGCTTTTCCTTGTACAAGCCACAGCAAATGAAGATTTTATTTTTTTCCCTAACATGAGGCTGTGTGAAATTAATTGTGGTTTGTGTTTGATAACTATTTTATTTTTTTCTTTCTTCTGCTGTTTTATTATGCTTAAGTTTTGACTGGTTTTGTGTTGTCATGTTAATCGTTCTTTCTTGTAGGGTGGAGAGAGCGCAGTATTTTTTAGTTAAGCTGGGAGAGTTCAGTTTTATGAAAATCATATGCAGAACACCAATGGTGGGGGGGAGACTTTTATTTGCAGTAAGGCATCTGTTAAGTATAAGGATGTCAACTCGGCTTCACAGGTAGGTCAACTGTTTCGTAACCAGGAATAATTTGTAAACTAAATTTATATATAGGTCTTCTGGACAAAGGAATTTGTTATTCCTATTTTCCTGAATTTGTTTTTCCCACATAGTTTAATCTGCTTTTTCCTCTAGTGAGTAAAAAGCTATTCTTAGGGGGTTATGCATAATATAATTTAATAGAAGAAAACAAATGGAATTTTATGAAATGTAACATAAAAGCCTACAGAAGATTATGCAAATTTTCAAAGTTTTTTTCCTAGCCATGTTACAGAATCCAAACCAAACGATTCAAACCTAAAAATTTAAAGTGATCATTAAAATTTACCAGAATGTTGTTTTCATATTGCATTTAAGAGTGTTCCTTGAAGATAAGTTTCCTGTCCTGACAAAAAATTGTGTTGCAGTGGGACATGCTACTTGTGATTTGGTCCTGCAGTTGCAGCAGTAGGTGCGCTTCTTGGTACGTGAAAGTTTTCTTGCAAATTCCCAGTAAGCCCCCACCCATGCAAACTCGGGTGATTGCACAGCTGGTGCTGTGAACTGCGCATGTCTGTCCCCGGACTGTAATAAATGCTACTGTGATCTGGCCGTCTCATTTTTCATATGAGTTCTTAAGGGGAAAACCCTTTCTTTTATTTCTGTATATAAAAACCACAAAACATATAGCAAGTGCATTTGGGCTCAGTTAGGAATTCCAGGTGGTACCACAGCCTAAAACACCCACCTGTATGCCAGTTTAAAAAAAGAAGGGGGGAGGGAAGCAAGCGCAAATCCATCTGTTTTTCAGCGTTGGGATTTATTTTGCTCCTTACCTTAGTTATCAATGAGCATGTTTAGTTAATCTGGTTTTGCTTTTGTTTCCAGCCTGTTTGCTTTCTCATTCTCATGCCCTAGAGCATTTCAGTTTTAGTCACTACATGACATCGCTTAAATCAGAGTTGGAATGAAGTCACAAAGTGAACAGTGAGCCAGTATTCTCCAAAATTCATGGGAGGAAACTGCATTCACAATTATTAGCATAGATTAGTAAATGACTACTGACCAGTGTGAAGTTAAATTCACCTTAGATTAGCTCTTCCTATTTTCTGTTTTGTTTTATCAAGTTAGTTGTTTGTTAGTGTTGATTGCAAACATGTTATTCATTCCTCTATTCCCAAGTAGCCTGCCTTTGAGTTTTGTTGAGTAAAGTGGTTTGGAAAGAATCCAGATCAGTTCATGCAGAGGCTATGCACGTTAGTAGAAAACTACTTACAAAGTCAGAGCGTGGATTTTTATGCACTTTTACCCTATAAAAAAGACTCTGTGTGTATATATGTGCATGCATGTGAGTGTATATGCATATATACAATTACATCAGTCTAAAATTTTCAGCAACTTACTGAAATTTAAATAAATCTTTATATTGTTTCACATCATCCCATGTACTATATAAAAAATTCCAGGTTTCCTTCCTCTTTAGGGAAGCACATTTTAGTTTACTTTTTGAGTAATGGTTTGAAAAGCATGCACAGTTCTCTACTGTTTTGTAGTAGAGAATCTAAAAATCAAAATATTTTACAACGTTTTCATGCATTCAATTTGTAACTGTCTTTAGAAAATAAGAATTTAAATACCCATAATTTTATCCAGTCAGAATAGTCTGATGGTACTCTTAAGTTCATCCTGAGATAGATGAAATATTCAAACTGCTTGGAAAAGAAACTGTTTTCCTGTATACAAGTTCTGTGCAATTAAATTACGACATCTAAACCGTACCAATTTAGGATGCGGTGCTGATGTACTGAAATCGGTGGACTAGAGCAGTGTTTACCCTCTTCTGCTTCCTTCTTTGAGAGGAATTTGAACTTGGTCTGTCCTCCTTTTAATCTGCTCTCACTCTAAGGATTCTAGGCATTATCAGTAGTTCAAACAATACTCTAACTCTGATACATGTAAGTGCGGTTTAAAGCAGCTCACTACAATACCGTGATGTCTTTGACATACCGTGTACAGTGTTTTCACTTTGAAGTGTTGTGCAACGCGGTACGTCTTGTTGCGCAGATCGGTAACTGTCGATCTCGTGTGGTGGCTGTGGCCGGGCCGTGCTGGTACGTCCCGTTTCAGCCCCGGTGAGGGACGCTCGGCGGGTGGGGTGGATGGCTGCATGGCTTTCGGGTCAGGTATCAGGTGAAGGTGTCAGATCTGCAGATAGTGCCCTTTTGGTCAAAAAACGCAAAAGGTCCTGCCGCCGTGCGTTATTGAAGAGCGCATCGTGCGGGAGGCGAGGTGGTATCGAACGTGCTATCGCCAAGCTCTGAAGCCTTTCCCAGGTGCAAGGCATGCTTCCGAAGAGAGAATCGCGTCGTTTCCACGGATTTGTTCTGGCGCGGCATGGGCTGCAGCGGCGTTACGATGTGTTACGTGTGGAAGTGCCCAGCCCCATTTGAGCGCAGACTGCCCTTGGCGGTGAGGTGCAGGCAGGGCTCGGCGGGGGGGATGCACACCCGCTGTGTGGCGGCCCTCTTCCTGGGCCCTATGGCCTCCGCACCAGCTCCTCACCGAACTCGAGGGTTATGACTGCTGGGTCCCGGAGTCAAGGCAGGGGTCACCCAGACGTGGCAAGGCCTCCCCCCATGTCAGAGGCCATGTGGCAGAAATTCACCACTGAGAAGAGAAGGACTCTCCTTCTCCCCGCTTGGTACTAATCATGGAGAACAATGCTGGCTGCTTCGCAAACTGTTAGTACCGCTGTACAAAATCTGGGCCTCTGCTTATGGCCCGCTGAGTCAGACTTGTTTATTTCACTGAAGTATTAATCTCTGTCTCTGACTGGCAGTCAGCAACTCCAGGCTCCAGGCTTAACAGAATTTCAAACTGTAGATTATGCAGTTTTGCTGAAAATACGAGGCTTCTATCGCACTTTGAATGATGTATTCTCTCTTGCTCCCCTTCGGTCTGTTTTTCAGGGCTGAGATTAGGATAGATAATTAATTCTTCTCTTCCCAAGCCTTGTCTTTTAATTTAAAAATTTTCTTTAGCATCTGCCAGAATCTTCTGCATGCACTCCTGAGAGGTTAAGCAATGAAAAAGCCATTAAATTAACTTCAGCCAGCCATTAATTTTTTTTCAGTAGGATGAAATAGTGTTTCAGTATATCAAACAGTTTCTGGTTTCTTTTATTTTGTATCATGGCAAAGAAAAGAAATGTGGGAAGAGGCCGGTTTTCTGGTTGCGTGAGAGGGTGGTGAGTGAGGAGGCCTGTCTTCTGGTCCCGTGGCTTATCTCTGTGTTAGCAAGAAGTAGGACATGAGGAGTGGATCCTGTGTTAGCAAGAAGTAGGACACGAGGAGTGGATCAGTGGAGTGAAACAGCTATTGCCAAGGGCCTGATGTCCACACTACGCAACTGGGAAGATAGCAGGGAGAGGTTTAGCTATACTTAGCTCATATATCCTTTCCTCAGAAATACCTTGCTATTGCCTATAAAGCCTCTCGTGAGAGCACAGCAGTGTCAAGCTCTGGTGTGCTGTTCTTGGGAGTGTTGTGAGGTGCATAAATGCTATCGCTGGTGAACCACTCCTTGCCGGGGCTCTGATCGCTCTACTGCTAAGCAGTCTACCCAACTGTCCATGTACTTGCCACTCCAAGAAACCCGTATGCTCTTTTCACAGGCATAACTTCTCCATTTGGAAAACTGTGTATCTTAGTTTTTTCAAAGAAATACACGGAAACAATTTAGTACAAAATCTCTTGGAATGGGTCTGTCTGTCAAACTGCACATAAACCTGCTGAAAAGTCCCAAACAGTAGCAGCAGGATTGAGCTTATGTGTCAGAAACAAAGCAAAGGAAAAATGGTCGGCCTTGGAGTGTCTTGAATTAGCGATTCCACAGAGAATTTATGGTGATTTATAGTGCATCAGCTAGTGAGGCTGAAATGACACTGCTGCATTGAAAGTTCACATGCCTCCTGCCTTTCTAGTTGTTCTAATTCTGTGTGCATCTAGTCTCAATGTTCTTCTAGTAGATTTTAAAGATCCTCAGTCTTTTGCAATTGTATTATATAGCTGTCAATTCACAGACGTGACAACTTCCCTGCTTTTGGCAATAGACTGTTTCTTTTAGTGCCAATACATTGCCCTACTGGGTTTTGGGACAGATGGTAGTCGGAGCTGCTGGATGTCGGGAAGCGCTGGAGACACTCAAAGATGCATTTATGGATCAACCCTCTTGCGCATGCATTGGAAGCCCAGTGTTACAGCTGTGTCAGATTACCTGTGTGCATGACGGATGGACTACATATACGAAGACAGTTTGCCTGGGCTACAGCTGGCTTGCAGTGCGTCATTTACAGATCAATATATACCCGTACTGGGTAGGGTGTGTAAGATTTGCCAGTGATATGAGCTGCTTCTTGGTATTATTTCTGCTTACGCTTTGGTTAATAATTCTTCCTAAATGATACATGTAAAGTAGGTATGTATTTCAAACCCAGGAGAAAGTAAGGACCATCTGAATTGGTCATACAAGTCTGTGGAGAGTGACTATTCTCATCACTTCCGTCTGAATAAAATAAGGATTGGAAAATCCACTTTTTATTCCATTTCAATTTTGGTATAACTGCCTAATATGCAATTGCTTGGAGAAGAATGTTGTTGCCACCGTAGCAAAATTTTGTATTTTAATAGTGTGGAGATATTTTTAAAATCTCAGTATATACTTGGGATTCATTTTGTTCACCTAAGCATAAGCATTGAACATTAGCTGTTCTAGATGTCTCTGTAGTTAGTAGAACGGCATTTCTCAAGAGAAACTCCTCCCATCCTAAGCTATGTCTCCAGAATTATTTGTGCAAATAGCCCCTGGCCATTGCCTATGTCTCTGTAGGGAGCCTGAACAATTCATTCAGGTGGGATAAGTCAGTTGCCGATGGTGAAAGTGGTGAAATCGAATATGATGAAATTCCAAACTCGTTGTGGACTTTGAGCATTATGCCTGATGATTGATCTATTCAGCATGATTCTCCTTATTTAAAGAATTATTTTATGTTATTATTTTTCCACTCCTTGGGTAACTGCTTTAATGAAAGCTGTGGAGAGTTCACCACAGCTTCAGACACTGCTCAGCAGGTTGTTCACTTCTATTGTCTTAAATCTGTTATTTTTGTCTTCTTTAGTCTTCTGGTACCAGTATCACGGTGGATATCGCTGTCATGGGAGAAGCACATGGGCTCATTACAGACCTTCTGGCAGATCCTTCACTGCCCCCAAATGTGTGTACTTCGCTGAGAACAGTGAGCAACCTGCTTAATACGCAGTTAACCTTCCAGGCCATCCACAAGCCAAGGGTGAACCCTTTGGTGTCCTTCAGTGAGAACTACACCTGCTCTGACTCAGAGGAATGTCCGGAGAAAGGAGAGAAACTAGCTATTCCCAAAGTGAGTACTGGACCCTGTCTGTCATCTTGTAATTTGGCTTTCCCTAAAGGGACAACACTGTACTAGCAGGAGATGTCACTGGGCTTTTTGCATGTTTGCTTCAGACTAACATCTTACGCACTAATCAGACTGTACTGTAAACGGACACCTAAGTAGACTGTTGATTTCATACTAAGACAATTCCTGTATATCCTTCAAGTTATGGCCAGGTCAACTTTGGTTCAGGCATTTTTAGAAGATGATGTTCAGCACAGGATAGGTCACATAGATGGTGTGCATATTTCCTTGCAGGTGTTGGTTGGAGCTTAAGGGAGAAGAAATGATAGGGAGCAGAGCAAGCAAAAGCCTTTCAGCATCCAGACTGACAAGTCTGCCCCATTACCTCTCACATAGAAATTCCCCTCTCACTCAAAAGATTTGAGCCACTGCATGTGGGGTGGGGAATTAAGTAGTGATTCCTTTTTGCCTTTGCAGTACTTTTTGCCCACTTTGAAGACTGGAATTTGAAATTCTGTATGAACTTCCATCTCTTCTTCCTTCCCTTAGCTAGAGGTGTGAAACCTACACAAGTCAATGAAAAAGTCTCTACTGATGACCTCCAGGTGCTTTGGATCAAGTTTAAAATGTTGTGTACCAAACAAACAAACAAAAAAGATCACCACAATACTTAGTGTGACAAATATTGTAAGACTACTGCTACATGAGAAGTAGTTTTGAGAAGAAAAAGAAGACTGAACCAAAAAAATGTATATATATTAACTGCCTTGACAGATGGCTTTATGAATGTTCAGCACTCCGACAGGAAATAACCAGTGTTAACCACCCACATTTAGTAATTGAACAACTAGAAAGAACACACCAGCTCTGAAGTGGTTTGAATTGCAAGTTGGTTGCTAATTAGCTGTCCTGCAAGGCTTACATTTCACTTTTGAAACTAAAGAAAAATACTTTTGTACTGCAATCTCCCTTGTAAAATTAAATGTAGGCAGAATACATTGCACAGGCAAATGCTTTTAACAGCCAGCATTCATTCCATTATTTCCCAGCATCTGAATTGCAACACTTGTGATTTTTCTTTAATATATTTTATTCTGATGATAATTATTACCCTATTTGCCTATGTAGCAGCTGTATATATGATATGGACGTTCACAGGTTTTTAAGCACATTTAATGTACATGTCTGTAACGGCTGTACTCTAGGCTCTGAGGGGAAAAGTTAGGTGGAAGAACACTGCCATCACATGAGCAAACACAATGAACAGATACCAGTTTGCTGTTGCGAAAATACCTAGTGAGGAGAAGAGAAATGAAGGATGAAGAAATTAGTTAATGCTACAGAGAACTAATTTGACTGAAGAATTCACTGACCTAAATGTATTACAGTTCATAAAACTAATAGTTTGCAGTCCTTTATTTAAGTGTCTAAATATAGATTTAGGGTCTTTACCTTAAGCATCTGACACTGAGCATTTTGGGTAAGGAGGTAGTATGTTAACATATTTTTCTGTAAGTTTGAGCTTCAGAACCACAAGTGTCTTCCATCTCATATCTCTTAACCCTCTGGCAAAGTCAAAGCTCTCTATCACAGAGACATATTTATTTTACTTCTGAACTATAAACACTTCATGAGAACTACAAGAGAAATATCTTACAAAATCGTAGCATCTGCAACAGCAAATCTGGATCTACAAAGATTCTCTATCATCATCCTTTATTACCTCTGCCTTCAAAAATTCAGAAAAACAATGTGTGTCCTGTTAGTGGAGAAAAGGAAGAGTCAGATGAAAGAAAAATGCAGGGTGGTTAAGAAAAATCTGCTGTAAACAGTGATGCTTTCTCTGAGCTTTTCAGGAGACATCATATCGCAGAGCATGAAAGTTTTATTTCAGGGCGTGATCTTTGGATTGGGTAGATATAGCAGAACAAAAAGTTGGAGCTCCCCTCCCTTATTTTTCTTACAGCCTTTCTTGCCTTGAATCACTGATTCTGAGCATTCATGAGAGTTTAAATCACAGAACAGTTGAGGTTGAAAGTACATCTGGAGATCATCTAGTCCAGTCCCTCAGCTCAAGCGCGCTGAGCCTGGAGCAGGTTCCTCTAGGCTCAGCCTAGAGCAGGTTGCTCAGGAGGATATCCAGTTGGGTTTTCAGTATCTCCATGGATGTAGACTCCACAGCCTCTCTGGGAAACCTCTTTCAGTGTTCAGTCATCCTCACAGTAAAACTATTTTCTTATATGTAAATGGAATTTCGTGTATTTCAATTTGTGCCCCATTGCCTCTTGTCCTGTCACTGAGCACCACTGGAAAGAGCCTGGCTCCATCTTCTTTACACCTTCCCTTCTGATCTTACATTGGTAAGAGCTCCCTGAGCCTTTTCTTTTTCAGGCTGAGCAATCCCACCTCTCTCAGCCTTTCCTTTTATGACAGATGCTCCAATCCCTCAGTCACCTTTGTGGCCCTGATGACTTGTTTAAGTGCTGTTGGCCACATCATGTAAGACCAAAATTTTTAAAGAGCACAAGCAACATTTGCTAACTCCCATGAGAGCTCCAAGTGTTGAATATCTGTGGCTGTGGGGCTGTGGATATATACTTTTTTTTTTAAACTTGAAATAGGGAACATTGTCCAGACCCTCCAAGCATTTAAAGCACTGGCTGTGTTGATATAGAAGGTAGGCACCATAATACCTGGGAGAATACAGATTTAAGGTATTACTAGATGTTGTCAGGCAAAATTAATCAAATGGAAATGTTTTTCTTCTGCATGTTGAAAGTTTTTGTAAGAATTAATAAACTCTAAGCAACTGATTTCCCTCTAGCGCTTACGGAGAAGTTTGCCTCCAGGACTGCTGAGACGAGTGTCCTCAACTTGGACCACAACAACATCAGCTACAGGACTACCTACACTGGAGCCAGCTCCAGTCAGAAGGGATCGCAGTGCCAGCATCAAACCTCATGAATCATCTACATCCAGGTTACAGATCACCTCCTCTCTCTTTTATGTCTCTCTTTGAGCAAATTTCGTTGGTCCTGTGTGATGATGTCCCTCATTGCAGACTTTTCATGTTTCTCTAAATTGGGTTGCCAAAGAAGTGGCATCTCCAATTTTAGTCATATTATGCCAAACATATTCCTATTATTGGGAAGCAAAATAAATAAAAAATTTATGCTAGCAAAGTGCAGAATTGCAGAATAAAATTGGAAAGAAGGCAAGATATTTGGCTAAAGTCTTCTTGATACGCAGCAGTTTCCTCTGTGGGTATTGCCCAGCCAAGAAAGAATTCTAACAAGTAACCCAGCTGCTGAACATCACTTCTAAGAACACACCTAATGCTGTGGTCCTGTTATTAAACCAATTCATAAAGCACTTCTCCATTCTCTAGATACTAACTTCCAGAACACAACCCCTGATTTTAAGTGGATCCTCCTAAAGTACACAATTCCATGTTGTTCTGTCGATAGAAATGGAGTATCATGCCCTGCATCCCATGTACGCACTTCATTCTGGGATATAAGAAGGGTTTACCATTCTCTGAATGAGTTCATGCAAATGCAATACCAGCAATAGATGGTAAATAAAAAACATTGAGTTAGCTAAGTCAAAAAGTGATTTAGTGGAGAGAAAGAAGTAGATTTGTTACCACTGGGGGAACAAGAAGGTGTAATCTAGGAGTAAAATTACAAAGGAAGATTTGCTAGTAGACATTGAAAGCAAAACTGAAAATTAAACGGGCAGTGTAAAGTTTTCTTGCAGGATGGTTGCCGTACTTTCCCTAATTTCAAGCACTGCAGTAGAACTTCTTTTCCATTGACCATGTAGAGTTTAGCTTCTGGGATTCAGAATCCCAACTGTCCCGTCCTTAATCCCAACTGTCTCATCTAGTTAAAAATGCTTTTCCTAATTTGCCACAAGAAGCAAATATACACAGCTGTTTTGCTGGGGTGCAGACTGAGTGCCCACTTTTATTTATGATGTATTTATTTACTTATTAATTCAAGATGCCACATATGTTCAAGGGTTCTGTAAGCAGGTGCTGGTACTGGAAGAATCACAACTACAAAGCAATAATTAATAAAGCCTTGGAATGAATTTCAGTAATATCACTGGAGGAATTATACATTATTTATTTGTCTTGCATGGAAAAAAGAGTTCTGAATTCAATCACGACACATACACTTTAAGGTGATGTTCATATAGTGCATCGTAGAAACAGAGCACTAGATCTGCAAAGAGGTTTGCATAGGCTGAGATACCTACCTACTCCATTTTGTGCCCATACCAAAATTTAGTTCCAGTTTCCTAAAGCACCTCCCTGAAAGTCTTTCAGAGTTACCCAGAAGCACACTAGTTCTTAGTATTCTGAAAAGATGGGGATTCATCTTATGGCTGTAATCCCTCATGACTGACTGTATTAGTTAGGTATTCCCTGCTCACTCATACCCATTCTCTTTTTCTCAGGGCCTGATCCCTGATCCAGAGTCATAAAATACATAGTCCTCTGATGAAATGGAGAGAGAGAAGTTGTGTCCACTCAGCTGCTTACAGCCAGCAGCTAACTGGTTTAGGGCATTTGTAGAGGACTACCCTAATAAAGTTGCTTCTCTGCCTGAGGACGTTCAGACATAGGTATCTCAAATTTTGGGACTTCCATGCTACCAGATAGCCTGAGGTGAGCTGCATTTAACCCTCCACAAGGGCTGCAGCAGATAATCCAGTAGCAGCCAGTGCAGGAAGGAGTTGAATGGATGGTAGTCTTGTGGGAAGGGTGCTTGTCTGTGAGAAGAGAGGCTTGGGTCCCAGGCGCTGTTAACTATGTTATGTTGTGTAGCTATTTAAACAGGATTTGCTCCATTCTGGCTTCCTGAATATTTTTCTATTCCAGTCAGAAAGGAACAGAGCCTTCAAAGGAAGGGTGGAGGGCAGTCAGTCATGCAGTCTGGCAGTTACAGTGTCACCCTGTGAGAATAAAGTTCAGGTCCCTTCCCCACCTCAGCAAGGGCTATCATCTTGGATGAGGAGTATGGAGACATGCTTTGCTATGGGTAAAGTAAGAGCAGAGCAAAAGCACCAAATTCACAAAGATAAATCAGATCCATGGTATCAGAAGACTCACATGGTTTGTTCTGCAATTCAAAATTTAGTGCCAGCAGTGGAGAAAAAGATATGGCCTGAGAAGGCCTGACATCACCAGTGTTTGCTGTTGGATATCTTGGGTGAACACAGCCCCAGACAGCTGCTTTGGTCGGCCTTTCTTCCAGATAGGTAAACCTTTCCCACAGAGGAGGCTGTCATGCAGGGCACTTAGGTGCTCAAGGCAGCCTGCAGAGTACACTGAATGTCTGGTGCAAGAAAAATACATGGTTAGCCAAAGTTCCCTTTGTGAGGAGTCCCATCTGTGTCAGTAAAAATAAATATAAAGAAGCTATAACTAAATGGAAATGTTCTTCAGTCACCAGCCTGTGGTTCCCAGGGTGCATTTGATTTATACTGTTGATCCCAGACTCCCACGTAGTATGTAAGCATCCTAAGATGGGAATCAGAGGGAGAAGGAGAGCAATTAAATATTATTGTTGGTCCTTTTCTACGGTTGTTATATAACTCTGCATGATGAGCCAACTAAACAAACTCAATTCTTCCTACGTTTAATGTCGCCAATTGTATAATTATAGCTCTGTCAAGCCTCCCAAGCCTCCTGTTTGCAGTTCTTCTGTTACAGTAGGAGAAACAATGTGTATTCCAGAAGGGGGAAAAATTAATCCTATAAGTCTAGCTTTAACAATTTTGGCAGACCAATACAGATTTGCTTTCAAGGAAAAGAATTTTGAACTGAAGGGGGGAAAAAAAAATCTTTATTATCTGCCACTCTCACTGTACCAAATTCAAGCATGCCACAGGTCACAGAGAAAGAAAAATTTCGTGGCTTGAAGGGTAGGAGAGGGGAAATGACACTGGAATTACCCTGTGGCAGATTCTGCAGTTACAAAATATGCACCTTGTTCCTCACAGTCTGGGACATCACTTCCAGATTTCTGTAGTCACATATTTGCAAAAATCCCCCTTAAATCTTCTTTAGTAATCCTCTATTCTTCCAACCCTATGCCACGAAACTGGTAAGACCTAGTCCTCTGATAGCTTCAAATGATTTGGGAAAAATAATAGAGATTCCACATTCTTTCCCTCAGTCACTTCTATATCCAGTGGTTCTCCCTTAAGAAGTCGAAGAATGTGGTTTGGGGTTTTTGGTTTGGTTTGGTTTTTTGGTTTTTCTTTGCAATGGGCCAGTGTGTTAGATTCTTCTTGTCAATTAAAAAACAAAACCAGAAAACAAAACAAACAAAAAATAATTAAAAAAAGAGCTGGATTCTTTTTTTATTTTACATCATCACAGATTGTAGGAATTTGGACCAATGAAGACAACCAGCAGATATTTTTGTAGGTAGTGCTTGCTCTTCTAAAACAATAAGGTGTTTGTAGAGTTAAGACAATGTTACATGCTTTTTTCTTTCAGAACACTTCTTTTTTTTTTTTGAAGTTTTTTTTCAAGTTCAGCTGGGACTGGGCTGCTTTAAAAGGCTGTCCTCTGCCTTGCATGTCATCTCATCACTTGGATGTGAGGCTGTGAGGAGAAATGCGGAGGCTGAGACCTAGCAGATCTGTCCAGAGAAGTCATAGGCCTCATAAGAGCCAGTGCTACATCCCTGCAAGCAGCTGACATTTGATGGGTGTCATTCGGGAAAACAATGATAAATACAATTCTCATGCTTTACAGAAGTATTTGGCCTCTTCTGGTACACAGTCATAGCCTGAACGGTGAAAGCATGTGCCCACCCTGTTGTAGGGGAGCAGCATTTGTTCCCCACACATAGACACATGCACCCTCTTCTTCAGTGAGTTTCTCTTGAATCAGTGACCAATGTCTTCAGGGTCTGTCAGTAGGATTTTTTTTGAGATGTAGCATGCATTTCAGTTGGCTAGAGCATGAAGTGCTTCACCCAGAGAAGATGTAAACCACTAGCAACAGCAATGCAGGGCTCTTCAGAGCCTCCTCCAGCCCCTTGAGGAGCTCCTCCAGAGCCCGAAGGGTTACTGGGTATCTGCCCTGGCTGTTGCAGCAGAGGAGTCAAAGGAGACTGATTTTTCATTTACTCTGAGAACTTCTGGCACTTCTGTCTCTTATAAGGAGGCATTAAAAGGGAATATAAATTTAACTTCATTTCAAGTCAACTTTTAAGCCTCTTTGTACTGTCGGAACAATATAATGAAGACATCTTTGTATAAATAAAATGAATAGGCCTCAGCACTGAAGGAAGTCCAGCTTTGGAGTGTCTGCATTGTAAATATTTTTGCTGAATACAATACTGAGCACCTCACAAATAGCAGTTCAGCCAGCAGATAGGTGCTGTTTTCCTCATCAAATTTTGTGCTACCTCAGTATCGCATACTTCTTGCCATGGCTCCTAACTTCTTAAGATCTGCTGTTGAGGCTTTTTACTGTGTCGAATGATGCATGTTTGTGCTCTGGTTTTGCAGCACTGACTCCTGGAACAGCTCAATTCTGATGACAATCACGAAGAGCAGGTCCTTCTCCACGTCCTACGCCATGCCTTCTACCAACCACCTGAACACCAAAAGGCAGAGCCGGCAAGGTGAGTGGGCATCCATGGCTCTGTCAGGCTCGCTTAGCTGCATCGCCGTGACTAGCACGTGCAGCTGCTTTTGATCTCTGTCCAATCTGTGTCTGTTCTTATTTTGCCATCAATATAAATATAGTAATTCCCTTTATTAAAAAAAAAAACAGTGGCTTAAAATACTATAGTTCATGGTGATGCCTTTCTAAATGTTTTGACTTTTATAATTTATAGAGGTTAGTCATGACATGATGCGGAAAGTGTGATACTAAATCGTGTTGCAGTTTATATCTATGTGATTCCTTCGACTACAACAGGGCTGAGAACAGTGTTTTCTGTAGCATTTGTTAGATTAACTGTCTGTGCATATTGTGTGACTGAGATTTCCTGAAGTACAACGTACATAATGCCATTCAGAGCTGTAGGTAGCAACTGACCCATCTTATGCAAACATATCCAAGACAAAGCCATTATAACTCAGAGGTCTATCTCTGTATATTCATTATTGAGAAAGTCTGGGTAGTTCTTACTGATTTTTAGAGATGAGAAATATGGGGCTTTTTACTCAGCTTTCTCGGCCTTTAAAAAAAATGACTCCTGTTTTAACTGCGGGAAAGAAATCGAGAAGGTGACTTCTTAATTGGTAATGAAATATGCAATGACAGCCACAAAGCAGTCTTAATCCACAGTAACGTGGTTCTCTTCCCTGTACAAATGCAGGATAAAGTACTGTTTACCCATGCTTTAACTTGCAATTCAAAATGATCACAAGGCCTTCCTTTTTTAAATCAGACCTTCCAAACATGGAATAATGTTGAGATAATGTTACTCAGAGATACTGGCCACCTAAACATCAGATGGAAATTGATAGATGCCTGAGGCCTGACATCAGTAAAGTCAGAGAATCCTAACTTAGAGACGGGTTTGAAGATACGGATGCACAATTATTCTGCATATCTAGCACTGTCACATTGTATCTCCTTTCCAAACTGAAGAGTTTGTTTCATCTCCTCTCGTACAGAAGCTGCTTTCTAATACCACAGTGAAGATAAAGTAACACAATATTGTCTTAAAAGGTAATAGGTACATAGGCAAATTAATAAAATCGATCCTGGAAAATAACGGACATACAGTACCAAGAATCCAGAAATTTGGTTTAGAACAAAACAAATCCATCTTAGACTTGTGATTTTCAGAGATTAACCTTTTAACTTGAAAGGAGCAAGGAGGGTGTGTATATGTATATTCTTTTATACTTGGAAAACAGGATTTTCCAAGCCCATTAGTCCATTTTACATGTAGTCTCTTCTGCTTCCAGAAAGTGTTAATAGTCATCTTTGTTGCCCAAGTACATGAGCTCCCCCATGCTGAAGGGAGAGCTCCATTCCATCACAAGAAGATTGATATTTTGATAGTTTAGGCTGTTTACAATCATATATTTTTAACTATGATTAGTTTTCATATTCCAACTAAAGAATTGCTTCAATTTGCACTAGTTAATACAAATTAGACTTTTATATATTAGCTCCACTGGCAATATATAGTAATTCTTGATACAAGTTATCTAGATAAATCTGTAAAATCTAACTAAAATGGGTCTTTAATTATGCGTGAAAACATTAGCATTTTGAAATACTGTTAGCTATACCTATTTTGGCAAAATTCTGAGGTAAACTCAAGTGTTTTCATATGTAATTTCACATTACATTGAAGTTACTGTATTATTTCTTCAACACTGCACATGTGTAAAAGTTCTGGAGGACCTTAGTAGATGGATGTACTTAAAAAAAAATTCTCCTGTGTTGTTAATCTTCTCATATCTTGGTTGTTGAAAATTCATTGCTGTAGCAAGACATGTTTTCTCTCACTTTTGCCAATAAATGGCTAAATGTTGGATTACTGAAGACAGATTTGTATTTGCCTGGTAAATTTATTTATTTTTGCATACCTACCCTGGCAAATTACTCTTTAAAAAAAAACAAACACAACCAAGAGACAGCAGCTCAGACTAGCAGTAGAAAGCAAGCTGTGATTAGAAAAATTATTGTGGAAATTGCTGTTTAAATTCCCAGGACTTGCTTTAAATTGTTGAAAGATGACCATATATATTGTATTCTGTAACAGTCATGAAGATGACTTGGTAACATATAGCTCATAGATAGATAATAATCCAACTCAATCCCCTGTCCCAACTAACAGACTGTGAAATGTTTTTAAAGATACATTTTTGTTGGATGGAAAGCAGGTATCTCAAAGGATTAGTAAATGTGAAACAGAGGCTTTCAGTATTTTAAAGCAATTTCCATATGTCATGGCCATCTGATAACTTTTTAATTGCTCTGTAGGCTGTAGGTTTCTGATCTCAAGACCATTGTAACATCCTAGTTGCAACCATTGAATTAAGACAGTTATACATACCACATGTTTGCTAAAGAAATAACCTAATCAAAACTTCAGAGATGTTGGATATCTCAAAATTACAGTGTAGTAACTGTAAGAAATTATTTTTAACTCTTGGATTGTCAACACCATATAATATTTTAACCTCATATCACAGCAAGTTGTTATCAGGAAAAACCACTGGAACTGTACACATATATCCTGCAAAGTTAGTATTTCATAAATTTAAATCAACATACTGCCTTATTCTGAGATAATTTTTGTGTCTGGAATGCATTTAGATAGTGGGCACAATTCAAACATAAAACCAGTTAAAGTTTCTAAGCTCTTTGTATCATTTGGCTTTGAAGATGAACATGGTAAATGAACTGGGGCTGAGTTCCTACAAACTTTAGAACAGAGGTAGGTCAATTTACATGCATTTCCATTTAAGCTAGATTATGTTTGCTCCTCTGCATTTTATTGTGAATGGAAGCTTTTTGTCTGAGACTAGAAAATGTAAAGTTGATTCAAAAAGAAGGCTGCACTTTGTCTCAAACACCGGCTGATGCATTTCATCTTGGCAGTGGTGCTTAGACAGAATAAGGGACAGAGAGAAATACATCTCGCTAGTGTGTGCACATGTGGATATTGGCAGTTTCTGATACACTAGCTCAGGAGTACAATACCATGGTAAAAAATACAGGTAATCGTCACAAGTCTCCCATAGTGAGCAACAGATACTGAAAAATAAACTCAAGCTGCACGAGATCAAGGCAGAAATCTGTGAGGAATGCGGAAATGGCACCATAAGTGCAGTAGTTTATTTTCGTGTAATGTATGACTACTAAAAATTGCTTTTTTTGGTTTATTGCTAGTCTTCACACATGTAGAAATTCAAATTTGCTGGGAATGTGTGTAAGCCTTTCTTATCCCTGCTTTACAGATGGCGACAGTGAAGCAAAGAAAAACTGCAGATGGGTCTGGGAACTGCCTATCTGGAGTTCAGTGTATCCGTCACTAGCATGTGTTGATACCAGTAGTCATGCCACTAACGCATGCTTTTCATTTTGTGCCTGCCAGGTAGTGCATCCTGCTCAACAGGGAGAATATGCTTCATATTTTGAGCCAGATCTTCAGCAGGTAGAAGTGGCTGCTGTTAATGGAGCTTCATCTCTCTGTGACAGCCATGGGCTTGGCTCAGTTGAGGAGGGTTTTCTCTTATATTTTCCACTTGGAAACTATGCTGGTGCCTGCGCACATCAAGAGGAGTATTTCTGCACAGTGAACTCATACAACCATCTGCCACTTCTGTTAATTGACAAGACTCTTCTTTTCTCTTGCCAGGTATCCCGCCAAATATTTCACCTCTCACCTCCCCATGCCATTCACCAATTCAGGGGACGCCTGCCACAAGTCCTACTGGAAAAACATCTTCCGTGTTATTTCCAGACTCCACAGATAGTGTCACCAAGCAAGGCTTAAAGCCACACAAAGTCTTAACTTCCACTCAGAGTGCACCTAGCCTGTCAGACCCTATTATCAGCCCCTCTGTCATCTGCAGCAGGTAAGATAGTCATTTAACATGTGTTGGAATCATTTCACGTTGTTCTCGTGAGCAAGCTCTTTTGGCCTACGTACAAGTTTTGGTGACTTGCTGTGGTGTTGTGTGTAGATATTTCACCATATCTAAGCAGTGCTTAGTATACGAGTAATGATGCTACAAAGTGCTTTTAAAGTGCAAGATAGTTAGCTACATTTATAGCTTTTACTCATGTCAGATGCACAGCCTGATTCATAAGTTCTTTGTCAATAACTTGCAGATCCCAAAGATGTATTTCATGTTAACAACTTGTGTTGCTCACACCCTGCCCTTAACATGACAGTCACTTTCAGGTCACAGGCCAATTATTTCACAGCAGGCACCTGATGTTTGATAGAAAAAATCTGACTGCTGGGGTTTAGAAGCTGCTGGCCTGTAGCCTTCTGATAAAGGTGTGCCAACTATGCCTGAAGACAATGTCATTTTGAGCACTTTCTCAGAAAGAGTGGATCCTGTCCTCCCTAGGCAGAGTCAGATTATGTAGCACTGAGATTTTTTTCAGAAATCAACTGCAGCCGAGTTCCTTCTACTGCTAAGAGTTACAGTAACACAATTTAATTTCATACTTTAAAGTAGCCCATTACTAGGTATACGCAGACCTGCTCTGCAAAATCAGCATTTTGCAAAGAAAGTTGTTCTGCTTGTCTTCTCAAAAAGGATTCAGTTGCTAAATTAGATTATTGGAGTTGGCAATATGTGTCCAGTTCAGAATAGTGGGAAACACTGGTATTTAGAAGCCGGTCCCAGTGCAGTTTCAAGGTTACGTTACTCATTAGATGTTACTTTTGGTCATAGTAGTGAGTGATTTGTGATTATTGGCTAGCCAGAGGAGAACACGTCATCTGAGGCTGGGTTAAATGTTATCAAGTGTGACTATCTTTGGAAATAGTTTTTCATTTCTGGCTTCAGTCACATGACTTTGGATGTCTTGGTATGCTGCGTTTAGGGCTAGGCAGTGGGTGTGAGAAAGTCAAAATGGAGATTATGACTTTGCTCAAGGGAGTCATCCTCACTGGAGTTTAGATTAGGATCCTGACAGGCTTTCAATATGTATTTAGGTGACTAAATAGAAAATAAGTGCTTTTAAAAGTTTTACAAAGGTATTGCAAAACTGGTACTTGCACTGATTCATTTGAAATGAAAACTATATAACATGTAAGAAATATACCATAAATGTGCTACTGTCTTATTAAACGCCTTTATTACTATTTCAACAAAGTATTACTACTTTAATTAGTAACAGTTATTGCTCTTCTATTAAAGAGAACAGTTAACAGTTGCATGAAAAATGTTAAAAAATAATGTAAGGTTGTTGTAGATAGTAATGAAATATATTTTCTTTATATGTGTAGACTTTGATTTCATTGTAATCATTGGTAAAATGCTCATTAGCTTTTATGTGGCTACTGCCTTATGTGTTCTGTGTAGGTTGAATAGCATATTTAGGTTCTTAATTTCCTTGTTTTCAAATGCTTAGACTGTGTAAGCTTTACAAATAGTTACATTGCTGGCATAGACTTTGTTGTTATTTGAAAGAAACACATTATTTAAAATATTATGGAGTAATGACTGCTAATAGAATTGGCATCCACTATTACTAATAGTCACTGCTCCTATAAAGTCCATTGCAAAATCGTAAGCACTGTCACATTTCTAGCCATTAGTATATAGAGATGTCATATCCACAGATACAAGCTGGACCAACAGCACATGAATAATGCACACCTTAGTAATGTAAGCACAGTTAAATAAAAACAACAACAACAACAAAAAAACAGCCAAACAAAAAAACCCAAAGAAATTAAATGGTTAAGACGAGCTGAGAAAGTTAAATTAATTAACAAACACTGGAAATAAATCTTTTAATGTTTGATCTTTCATATTGTAGATTGCTCGTCTTCATGGTATGCAGTCCCCTACATTTACTGCCAAAAAACCTGCCTTGCTAAGAAATAATACCAAGTCAGCAAACCTCTGCCACCACCAAACCAGTCCTTCTCCCAACAACAACAACAAAAGAGAAAATGAACTCTTGATGGGTTCAGTGCCTTGAATCAGTTCCACCCAGGCAGTGGCATCAAGACAGCAGTTTTACTGTACTTTTTTTTTTTTTACTTACAAAGTGAAATGTGGTACGACAGCAGAGTTTGAAAGTTTCATTAAACAAGCACATATACTAGGCAATGCTGTTAAAATAACTTGTAAGTAATCATTTTGAATTCTGCTTAGTGGATGAGGCAGAAATCCTGTGGAAAAAATGTTAAACAATCCTGTGATTAAGAAGTATATTATAATGCCTGTGCATGAAGGGGATTGAGTTAAAGTTTCATGAGCACGTTTACTTCTGACGTAGAGCACATTTCAAGTGTTCTACTAGGTAGCTCAGTAATTATCTTTTTTTAAATATAGTGTTTTATGTGGACCATACATATTAAATCAGTGTGCGTTTGCATATGTTCTGGAAATAAAGAGGTACACTCATAATGCCGCAAAAGCCTTGTAGCGTTACAACCAATCAAAGACTGTCTTTCTCTTTTACTTTTACATTTTGGCGTGTTAGCATTGACCTTATGGAAACCACAAGAAATGTGGGAGAGAGAAGTTAATACCTTTTTTTCATCTTGTTTATAAACCTGAGTCATACAACGTTTATTTTCTTGGCTATGCACTACTTTATTTAAAATTCTTTCAGGAATTCATTATGTTTGCAGGGCATACCAAGCTCCAGAATCTGTTTTGGATGACCCAGTCAAAAGCCATCTGGCATAGGATTTTAGCTGGTTTTATATGGTGAACTTACATTGGTGCAGAGTTTCCAGTACAAAGTTTGACCAATTAAAAGAATTTTGTAATAGTTGCTTTGCAAAGGCTGTTATATATGAGGTATGCTACAAAATACTGACTTGAACCAGAGAAAGAAATGTTAAGCTGTCAGTTTTTCATGGACAGATTTGATATAATACTGCTAAATGAGGCTTCAGATTTGTTCTCTCATGTTTTCATGATATATCATTGTTCCTTCAGGTCCTAGGCTCAATCATACTGGGACATTGTAATTTGAAATGTTCCAGCTGGTATTGAGTTAATGTTTAGAGCTTAGAGGGAATGAAACACAAGGAATAAAGCATTTTAATGGAAGGGAAGCCATGATATTGTGATCCATCCCACAGTGTCTGTCTGTTCTGGGAATGATGAAGCAAACTATGTCTTCTAACTTCATTGCTAAATGCCTGGATGCCAGACCACTGACCTCATATTCTGTCCAGAACACCCTCTTGGTTCTGATGTGCTTGGAATGTTGTCACTGAAGTAATGGCAAAATACCTTTTTCCTCCTTAAGAGGAACATATTCTAGTTTTAAGCAAGAAAAAGAGAGTAAAGACACTTCATGACTGTGTTCAAATTGAATTGTATAAGATTGTATGGCACTCTGGCACATCTGCATCATTTTAATTCATGTTTATAGGGCAATTATAGTACAAACCCAGGGGATTTTTCTGTACTGATAAATGTAGAGAATAAAAAATTCATTTAAAAAAGTATCAACTGTATAGATTTACTGTTGGCAACACGAATTTAATGGTGGTGGCTAGTTAATCCAAGGTGGTTTTGTATTTTTGTCTTTTTGCATTCCTGACTTCCAATAAAACTTCAGCTTGCTCTTATAATTTTTCTGGAGAATGCCCCCTATACTACAGCTTATACTGTATGACATAATCTTACACCATCAGCAGGAAATCATTTTACATAAGACTAATGGGCATGGTTCTTTACATTGTGCATGTTTCTTGATGTATTTCAGCTGTGGCAGACCCTATAACCAAATAGAAGCTGGTGACGGGACACTAGATAGAAATGGTGGTACCACACACACCCTGAACAGAACAGGTAATTCCCTGTCCATCAAAAACTCCTTACCCTTTAAAATTCGTTAATCATTCACTGCAAGGGCAGATAAGCCTGTCTGTGGACCATACATATTAAATCAGTGTGATTTATCATTCACTGAATGGGCAAATAAGCCTGTCTGTCTTAAAAGGAGAACATACATAGGTAAGACTGTACAAGTTGTCTTTGAGGCTCCTTTCCTTTTTGTATGTACAACATGTGCAAAATGCTGCTGAAGAATAGAGTTAAAATATAAAGGAAATAGTTTCCCTCATCTAACCTAGTCAGCTCAAATAATGGTCCTCAAAATTTTTCTCGCTCTTCAATCCCATTTTTTGCACTCTGCAGGCTTTATGCCTTAATGCCTTTGGACAGATTGTCCGACTTTGGACCCAGCCAAGCAGCACATATGTATTATGAGTCAGAGATCCTGTTGCTATTATTCAGAAGGTCACAGGATGACTTTCATGCAATCCTTGCTGTTCACACAACAAGCTTTGTGATTTGTGTTGTAGATGATCCTGCACAAGCCACTTCTGACTATGAGACCAACAACAGTGACAGCAGTGATATCGTACAAAATGATGATGAGACAGATTGCTCCAAAGAGCAGACACGGAAGGGATCTGTCTGTAGGACGTACACACCTGAGACCATCATTCTGCATCCCTTGATACCACCTGAGGTAGCTTGTTTAAGTTCCACTCGCACAGTAGACTGAGTGTATACTGACATTGGGGGGGAAGAAAAAAAAAAGGCAACAAAAAACCCAAACAAACAGCACCCCTCCCCCCCAAAAAAACAAAACAAAACAAAAACTAGGGCCTGTCTAAAGCTGGTGACCATGGTTTTAAGCAGCAATTGCAGCAGGGTCCTACCTTGCAGTAGGAGGATTGACTTTCAATAATTGAAAGGAACCATTGAAATGTGTGAGAGCTGCTAAGCACTGGCCACTTGTGAAACACTAACCATCTATTTTGATGAATAAATATAAGTTTATGGATCTGGCATTAGGTATTTCTGAAATGTTTGGCCTCTGTGGTAGCCTTGCCTTTAAAGGGAGTGGATTGGAAGGAAGAGAAATTATCTTCTCAGACTACCAGCATGATATATAGTCTTCCTCTTCAGCCACTTCAGCTTCTCAATGGCCTTGCCATCTTGGCTAATATATACAGTGGTCCTTATTTTAAAATAAATTAACACTTGTGTGAGGCTGCTGCATGATATTATTGTTGGTGTATGTCTTGAACATAAGCACATTGCAGTATGGTGAACAAGTGATGATCTTCTCACAACTACTGTATTCAGCTGTAAGCTTGATTGAGATGTAGAGGGAAAGCTTTGTTTAGTTAATTTTTCCACAACCTGTTGTACAACTGAATTAATAAATCTAAGTTGGCATGAGCTCTCAAAAAATTTATTGTAATCAGTTGAATTGGAGTTGGACACGCTGAGAGAAGGCATTTTTCTTCATCTGTTTTGGCATTTACTCATCTACAGTTTCTTAGAAATAATGAAATTCAAGGAATTATACAGGGTGAAATGTGAAAGGAGGGGCACAACCCATCTTTTATTTGCAGACCTTGAAAAACAGGTTGGTTTCAGTATAAGAAGTACAAGTCTTCTCTTAGACCAAGCTCCTTTAGCCGTGTTAGATTGTAATGAATGGGTCCTGATGCAGAAGTAGAAACTGAGTGCTTTTCCCTCTGTACTGCAACAAATTTTACAATGAAGACAGACTCCCTTGGAAATGAATGAATGATTCCCATGAATGAACAAATGAGTGTGTCTCATGAATAAGTTCAGAGGCTGATGTTTCAGATACAGAATTTCCTATTTATTCAAGTGAAACAAATTATAAAGGAGAGTGACTTGCTGCAGGGCTGGTAGAAATGGGGACATCTCTGCTGAGCTGAGTACAGTACCGTTGACTTATAGATGATGCTAATGTGACCTTAGTTTTTAAGAGCATAAGTTTTTGCATGAGATGCTTAACAGAACTAAAATTCCTCTTTATTCTGATTTCTGGCATAGGACAAGCCTGTACTTGCTCCTGAGCCTCTGGTTATGGACAACTTGGATCCCCTGATGGAGCAACTAAATAGTTGGAACTTCCCAATCTTTGATTTGGTGGAAAAAATTGGAAAGAAATGTGGTCGGATTCTCAGTCAGGTGAGAAGGATATCTTGTATGCAATGACTGGCTAGATTATTGACAGATTTAGACAAAGTAGTGATAAGACCCATTGTCCTTACAAAGTGGTCATCCAATGAATTGTCAGCTTTGAATTATGTGTCAGGGGTCACAATATGACCTCCATCTCATTACATTTCTTACTTTCAAATTTCTACATTTTTAAATTCAAAAATGTGAAAGAAAAAAACACACACCTGTTTTGCCTGCTGCTCTCTGCCAATGAGTTTACATAAACCTTTCTGAATATTCTCTTCTGTCTGCTAGAGGTGCTGCACCCCTTACTGAGTTCTTTGTGAAAGGATTTCTCATGGGAGAGCTAAACAGTAAATATATACTCCATTGATGCAGGAAATACAGAACGTTGGTACTTTTTTTACACTGGATATTTCAGTCAGGCTGTGCAAGAAAGCAAGGCTTCAGGAAGCGGGGGGAAAAAATAGTCCTTGCTATGTTCTTCGGCTTTAAAGAGTCAGCGCTTTGATAGTAAATTCATATAATTGTTACATAGGGAGACTAATTTACTATGAATCAGGATGTGAGAGCTTACTAGATGTTCTTTCAAACATCAGTTTTTCATTCCCTCCTGTAAATTTAATGCAGGTACTGTCACAGCCCGTCTCTACCCAGCACAATTAATATCACTTCCATTATCACTTTCTTGGCTGAACTTTCTTCTCTGTTCTGCCTCTTTTCCTGGCACACTGACAAATTAGCCATTTTTTCTTATGGAAGTATTGAGGTTGATTAAACAGGAAAGGCAAGTAAATATTATTATTTAGGGATGGAAGGGAAAAAAACCCAAGAGAATCTGACTGATCTAGTATCACTTTACAAAGCATTATGTAGTGATAAGTGCTGGAAAGAAGAGATTATGTTAATTGGTTAATTGGTATAATGTGGAACAATTAACATCCCCAACAAACACAGAGTTTAGCGTGTCGGGCAGATCTCAGTGCAACAAGCTCCAGAGAATGCTGTATCAAAACTTGGTCCCTTGATGGTTAACTATTATTCAGCTAGATTCAATTATCCAGCGGTCAACCAGGAAAACTACAGTACGAATTCAAATTTATTCTGTGGTCTGACATTTATTGTTCTGTAGCTTGGCAAGTAACATCTATGTTTAACCAGCCTACCAGTTCTCTAGGTTAATTTTAGAGAAATAGGCAAACTATGGCTAGATGTGGATATTGATAGAAATTCAGTTATGACAATTGAGGCACTTTTGCACTAGACAGTGAGTGTGTGATTAAAATGCTCTTCTAGATCATATTGGTCACACTGTTTTCTAATAGCATGGAATGGTAAACAAAACATAAGGAAAAGCAGAACTTTTTTTTAATGGCATAACCAGCAGTTTGGGTGAGCCAACATTTGTTCTGGTTTTACATGGATACCTCTATAGCTTTTAAGCACTTGATAAAATGGCATGGAGTTCTGTAGCTCTCAGGACAATTCCCCTGTGCCTCCCTCAGTTTGCATTAAAGCTGCACATTTTGTTTCCCAACGTCTGCTTTTTGTGCAGGTTCTAAGCATGTTACCATTCTGCAGTGCCACAAAATGAGGCCTGTGAAATAAAATACAGCAGCTTTAATAAAAAGTATTTGTGATCAAAATTTAACATTTTCTGTAACAGCTGTTTGTAATAACTCACACTCTCTAGGAGCAACATGTAGCAAGTTCAACCTTGTTCATAAAATATAAATCCTTCATTTCTCTCCCCCACCTACTCAGATGTTCCTAACAAAATTATTTTCAGAAATAAAAGAACTAAAATAAACAAACCTTTTTCTCCAGCCAAAAGTATTGTCTTTTTCTTGTATAATTTTTAAATCTTGGGATATTATAAGCAAAGGAAAACAAAAGCTCTAATGATTTATTTTCTGTATTTTGCCATTAAATGGACTCATCTATTAAAAATAAGTAAATTAACAAGCTGAATTAACTATGTTTGCCTTGCTAGGTTAAATTTATGAGATGGAACAAAGCAGAGTTGACACGTGCCTCTAGGGAAGCATTCAGTTTAGAAAGCAAATGCTAGCTTAGTATCTTTAAAGCTGCTTGAGATTTCTGTTTCTTCTTTTTGGAATGTTGAATTGATTTAGACATATAAAAAGACCCCAAATGAGTCAGTGACCATAAAAGCATCTGTGCAAAGTACAGTGGCAAGCACTCTAAATGTGGCACTAACAAATATGCATGATAGAGGTTAGAGAGGAATTTACATACCACTTTCATTTCAGAAAGGAACAGCAGAGCTCTCCAGCTGAGTTGATGCTTCACAACAGGCCATAAAGTTAGATAATGTCTTCAATCACACTTAACACTCTTCTTCAGCTCCTATAAAACTAAAACCTGTGCAAGAGAAACTCATTTGCCTGGGAAACCAAATAAAATTAGAATAGGCTAAAGTCAAGATCTCTCTCTAACCTTTATTACTGGGCCCACAGAGACGAGAAGTGCTGGTGGTGCTCCTACACTCCCCATACACAAGCAGCGTCGAGGCAGGGTGGCATCACTGCAGTGCATGTGAATTGATCCCTGGATGGTACCAAGAGGAATGTTTGGTCATGTCATCATCAGGCATGGCTTCTGCAGAGAGCAACTGCCACCGTTACATGAAGGAGAGAGGGAGCTCAGTCCTTGGGGGATGGAATATTCCTGGGATTCTCACAGCAGCCCTTGTGAGGAGTTGTGTTTGTCAGAGCCAGAGACCAGTGCCGATAACGTAAAAGAAACACACGTTTGAAGAAAGCAAATACAAGAGACAAAAAAGGAGTGCACGCGGGTTGCCTGCAAACAACGAGTAGGGAACCGCTAACCCAAACTTTGCACATGTCCTCCAACGAAAGCCATTTATGTGTGCCTGCAACACCCAGGAAAGGAGCTACATGTGAACAACGATCCCCACTTCCAAAGCAGCTTCCATTAGGAATCATTTGGGAAAAGTGCTTGTCCTTCTTCAGGCAGCACTGACAGAAGTACCTGGGCTATAAATGATTCATTCAGGCGTTAGCAGTTGTAGAGACAAGCAGAAAATGGAGGGTGGAGGGAGAAGGTGGTGAGGAGCACCCGCTGCCAAGCGCTTGGCAGCCGTCGGAGTTTCCCTGGGCTTGTCCTTGGCAGTAGGGACTGTGCCGTGGCTGTGAGGGTGCTGCTGTGCTCAGCCCGTGGGATTCTAACTCCCAGGGAACTCATGAAGCAGCGTGCAGTTTGGGAAGGAAGGATTTTAAAAGACAGAAGCATTTAAAAGTGATTAATCCAGAACAAAAAACAAACAAAGCTGCACAGTTTTTCTGGTTTTTTTGAAATGAAAGAATTTAGTTAGTTGACTTTCTGGAAGATAGCAATGCCCTTTTTTCCTCTTTCTGACCTGCCCTTACTCCTTCTTACTCCCCATTTGCTAAGAAAGTGAGAAAGAAAATATTACCAAAATGTCCAAATTACTTGCATGGCTGTTTATGCTTTCTAATGACTACAGAGAATAATGCCATTTTACTCCAAATCATGGGGAAGAGCTATCATTCATATCCATCACAGTCAGCTTCACTTCTTTATAACTGCTGTGGAATTTCCCACCCCCCAAAATCCAAGGGGAGAAAAAACATGCTTTTCTGACATGCTTTATTTATGATACCTGTCCAGTATTGGTGCCATAGACCGGTAAGGTTTAGTCCTGCAGAATAATATTTCTTTATGCTTCCTCTTTTAATACAGAGATATTTTGCTGGAAATATGAAGCTTACCAGTCAGTGACCTAAGGCTGGAGTGTAAAATACCTCATCTCTGTAGGCGAAAGTTTGGATCCCAACTGATTTACTTCAGCTGTGATTCTAGATAGATAAGCAGAATTCTGTGCAGTTTCTAATCCAAACTATGCATAAAGTCAGTCTCTTCGCTCTGCCTCAGTACTGGAGGATCCCATGGGGTTTTCAGAGAGTAGAGTTTTGCTGTCTACAGGCCCTACCATTTATTCTAAGCTCATGTCTTCCAGAGCACTGTAATTCAGTAGTTCCTTAGCTCCTTTGCTATAAAGAACTTTTCACTTTATGGCCAACAGCCATGGCCACAAAGAGAAATTACCACCAGCAGTGATTTTTCTGACTGCATTGCTAGTGGCACTTACACCATTATGGTAGGAACAGAAGTAAGAGCTGGGGCCACCAGCAGAACCGCAACTGTCAGATGCGTGTCATTAGAGGGGCATCCTGGATGGTGCCAGACACCACACTCAACCCATCTCTGCATCATCACTGCCTGTTGCAATGCTTTGCCAGAGTTAGTTCGCATTCCCTCGTAGGGAATGACTAGGAGGGGAGGCCGGCATGGGGGAGAGGTCACTGACGCTGCAAATTGATACCCTTTTTTATTATTCTTACTGTAAAAATCCACACTGGCAGGACATGTAAAGTTTATGTTCATTAAACTTTAGGTGCAGCTCACAGGTCTCAATTTGTATACACACGGGGGTGGATAACTGATTTACATTCAGGTGTAAAAAAAGAAACATAATTTGTAAGAATTTCTTACCGGCATAGCATTCATCATTCCAAATGTGCTTCAGATTGCTTAGCTCTAGGCAGATCATTACCAGACAGATGGCATCAAAAGGACAGAATTTAGCTAACAGCAGTAAATAAGTAAAGAAGCTGAAAGGCTTTAGGGTCCAATTTGTGAAAGAAGTGAAAAGGTCAGCCAGTAATTCTACTGTGTCTCATTGTTCTGTATGTCAAGTTCAAACTTGTCTTCAAAAGTGTCCATTTTGCAGCAGCTGCTGTCTACATTTCTGAGCACTCATCTCTCCTGAACATACCCTCACTCGTCCGTCACATTCTCCCTCCCAATATGTCCTTTCCTGGATGTCTACAGTCATCTTTCTGTGCAGAAAGACTTGGAGCAGCTCTGCTTGCTAAGCCGCTTGCTGCCTCTGAAGTCCTGTTGGAGAAGTCACTTTTGCCATTTCACTTCCAAAATGGGTGAGAGGAAAAGCAGATAAAAGCTAGATCAGATGTACTTGAGAAAATACTACCAGGAAAGCGTGTTTTCGTGGGTAATTTGACAGAGTGTTTTTTATATCTAACTTTTAGAGTTCTTCTGGTCTATTTAGCAGCATGGTTGCTTTGTTTTTTCAGGTATCATACAGGCTTTTTGAAGACATGGGGCTATTTGAAACCTTTAAAATACCAGTGAGGGAATTCATGAACTACTTCCATGCCTTGGAATGTGGATACCGAGAGATACCTTGTAAGTAAAAATTCCCAGAAGATAACGATGATTCCCTAAAGTTTTGGGTATTTTCCACACACTTTGTTACTGAAGCCTTTCTTCCGTCATTGTAACAGCTACTTTTTTTCTTCTGCTACATCATGACCAAATGGATTGCTCTCTAATCAGAGGCTGGTGATGAACCACAGCCTCTCATCTGTTTTTTTTCATTGCATTTAATGTTTCATGTTGTTTCATAATAATTCATGGCAAATTTTGTGTAAGGCTGAAACCATATAAAGCTACTATAGGTACAAAGAACTGTTTCCTGATGATGCGAGGTGTACCCCAGTGCCCCAGTTGGAGTTTATTGAAACATTTCCCTGCCCTAAGCAATTTGGAGTTTTACACAGTAGCAAGTGCTATGCTACTGAAGGAGATGAGCTTTGTAAAGTAGAAAAAATGTGCCAAGTAAATGAGTGCATCCTGTTCTTCTGCCACTACAGCTTGACTGATATTTTTCAGTTTGAATCATTTATTCACTGAAAAACCTGCTGTCAGTCATCCCCAAAGTATTTACTAATTCAAACCAAAGTTACCAAACTGCTTCAACTGCAAAAGACTCTTTTTTTCTCCAGGAGGACAGAGGGAGTTATTACCCCCTTTTAGCTGGCAGATAACCATAGTGTTGAGGAATCTAGGACATGCTATTTTCTCTCACCTCCCAGAAAAATGTCTGAAACGTTGATTTTAGTAAGTCATATAGTCTCTTTCTCAAAATATTAAATGCCAATTGGAACAGCTACAGTGAGAGGCATTGAAGGAAAGCTACTTCAAAATGCCTCCCAGCCAGGTGGTTTGGACTTTCTTCTGCAAAAGTGAGAGACCAAATTTCAGATCTTTCTTTGTGTTTGAACATGATCAGGGATTTGAAGCAGCAGATTATAGCCTGAGGGGGTTCTAGGTGGATGTCCCGCGGTCTGTCTATCCTACTGAAACCATTCGTCTTTGTTTAAAACATTTAACTATTCATAGAGTGTTAGGAATTTTTGAGTTTAGCCCTTCATTTCTTTGTTTTTTCTTAAGTGTGTTTCATTTTGGTAAAGCAGAATATTTTGTCTAATAAAAAATTAATTTACCTTCCAGTTTTTCATTTCTGTGAACAGGTGAAAGCCAAAACAACTTGTTTGGACTTAACCACTTCTGTCTTCTAGTTGCTGAACCAAAAAATGGGTTATTCACACAAAACTAATGGTGACTGTCCCAGTTGGATTAAATCAGTACAAGTTTCACAAGAGGTTAATCCAGCCTTTACACCTGAGAAAAACATTAGACCCCTATGCTTGGCCATCCTCTAGGTTTTGTGTGAGGAGATTAGTGTCTCAGGAGGGATGTTCTTAGTACTTCAAGGAAGGTAGGGGAGAGGAGGCTGCTTCCTTATTTTACTTTCTTCTTTCCAAAATAACCATTTCTGTATTGCTTGCTGTTCTGCTGTTAAAAATTTCAGCTAGCTGTCACTAACAAGTATTTATTTAAAGGGAAGGTCACAAGGAAGACAAAGGAGAGCAAGGCAGGAAAGCAAGGGGTAAATAAAAGGGCCAAGTGGCATGACATGCTCATCTTTAGCGAGTAAGCAAAGTGATTGCAAATTGTGAATATAATAAACCTTTCCCTGTTATGCCCATATGTCCTTGGCAGGCAGGATATTGCTGATTTTAGGTGTAGACGAAGTAGGCAGTTGCCTCAAGGGTGGGGTCAGCAAGATGGTGAGCCCTCCTCTGCCAGAGCCAGGAAAATGCAGGCTGGCGGCTGCTGCCCCACTGATGGTAGGGGTTAGAAACGTGGGCTCAGCAGTGCTGCTCTGGAGGGCGCAGGTGGCTGTCCCCAGCAGGAGCTGGCATTATCCATCCCCTAGCAGTGGCAAGAGGGCAAATATGGCTCTCCAGGGTGCTTTCTCCATCCCAGGTCTGCTTCCTTCCTCTTCTCCCACAGAAGGAGCAGCCTTAGGGTGAAGTTCAGCTTCAGTGCTGAGAAGCCCTCCGTCAGCTGCACACTGCCTATCTTTAGGATGCAGCAGGTATAAAAAACAGGTTGCTTATGCATCTTGCTGCCAGTCCCTTCTACTCCCCCAGAGTACAGAGGTTTTATCACCTCTAATGAATCCAGTCAACTTTACTTATTACTTCTTAGAGTGGACTTCTGGACTTGTGTGTTGGTAATTTTTCCTAAAGGATACATATTATCTCCAGTGCTATTCTGATTCTTGACCATTATCTTAATATAACCTAGCTCTTCACCTATTCCCATTAAGCCTGTTCCAGCATTTGGTTTGCCAATGAGAGACGCATGATTGATTGGCATTACCAAAGTGTCACCAACTAAGATGACTGATTACCTGGAGATGTAGCCAGCTATTGTGAGTTTTACAGATGGGGGTGACTCAGCAGTGGAGGCCCACATTTTTATGCTTTGTCCTCTGAAATGCATCTTTGCAGAACTGCAGCAGCAGTAATGTAGCCACAGGTTATCATTCAGACTATCAAATTTCTTTGTGTTTAACTAGTCACTGTAGAAGATAACTGTGCTTTGCCCAAAATTAGCTTGAATCACAAGCTAAAATGCTTGTCTTTCAGTGGTTTAACCCTAGATGTAAGCTTTCGTCCTGGTGCAGCAAAAGCATTACCCCTCTTTCAGCATCATGGTTGCTTTTTGATATGTATGTTTAGATGATGCTTTGTGCTGAACTAGCATGTGATTCTTTTTCAGCCAGTTGTGTTGGTTGCGGGATAGTGTATCTGGTCTTGAAGGATTTGGTGGTACGAGCTTTGGGGTGACTTCTGTCTCTCATTTCTACAAAGAGAGCTTGCAGTAAGCCAGATTACAGGATCCAGGGCCTAAACTCTTATCTCCGGCCAGCAAACTGCAGAAGGTACCTGGTCTAACTGTGCAGTGTACACATATCCCGAGTTTGATTTTTTTTGCAGTGCAGCTGCTAGCACAGCACCTAAATTTGCTCAAGTAGCGTCGGCTAAGTGTTACTTGCCTTGTATTTATAAGCTAGGTGATGAAGTAGATGGGGTTTTCCCACTGATTTAATTTGAATCAGATGTTAATAGCATATTTACCCGGTATCATTTAACTAGCTAAAGGCAACCACTGGAGTAAAGGATTGGAACTGGTGGCACAGATCAGGCTCCTTGTTTAACACTTCCTTTGCAAAGTTTCCTACATTGCAGATAGTGCTGTTTCTCTGCTGTTCTGCTGTTTCTTGACTGGTGTGAGACATACCATTGAATGTGCTTCAACTTTAGTAAAAGAAAAACTGAGCATTTACAGAATACGTCTGTTTTTCATGCTTGTGATAATGTTTGGTCTCTGCTCGATTGACTGCCATGCGATACCCACTAGATGGTGCTGATTTCCCTCTGTCGGAAATATCCGTCATGTTTAATGGCAGGGTCATTTGCTTTGTATCACAGATCACAACCGAATCCATGCAACTGATGTTCTACATGCTGTTTGGTACCTTACTACTCAGCCCATCCCAGGACTCCCAACTGTGATTAATGATCACGGGTCTGCAAGCGATTCAGGTATATTTAAATGTGCAAGTATATATGTTGTATTTTTAAAGTTTTTGTCATGAAATTTGCTGTAAGAAAGCCAACAGTTGAGGATTGCGTGCAGTACTTGTTATTATATAGACTTTTAAGTTCAGTAGCACATTGGATGTTGAAGGTGTAAAGGTATCTTTGTGTAACTTAGAAGAGAATGGAATTGGTCCTCCAAAAGCCAATACTTTACATTTAACGATGTGTGAATGCAAGCCTTTGTGTTCACCCGTAACAACAGATGTTTGTTACCTTTTGATTTTTACAATATCTTTTTTCCTCAGAAAACTCTTATTCGTAGTGCTTTTCAGTGCTGCTCCAGAAGCAGTGTAAACTTTTAAACTCTCAAACCGTGCATTGTTTTGCTATTACAGAACTGCTGGGGCATGCAGGTAGTGCCGTGTGCTTGCCACTGCTTGGCTGTCATGAGGTGTTCCTTTGCCTTTCCTCACTGTCTCCAAAGAAAGAGACTTGTTACCATTTTGCAACTAGTTTGCAAGACCACTCGTCTGCTGTTTTACAATTGCTCCTTACAGGAAGTTGTTCTTATTGCATCTTTATATTAACTTCTCCAGGTTTAGCTGTAGCAACTAGAAGACCTGTCTGTATTTTGTGGGAGTTCTGAGGAAGTTACTGAAAAAGCAAGAGTTTGTTCTGCAGAAAACACTTCAACTTCTATTTTATTTTGGTGGTGTTTGTGTGGCACAAACATATCCTTTCTGAAACTCTTCAGGATGTTTTGGTGGGGTGGGAAACATTTTTATTCATAGAATCTTAAAATCATAGAATCTTTGGGTTGGAAGGGACCTTTAAAGGCCATCTAGTCCAGCCGCTCTGCAATAAGCAGGGACATCTTCCACTAGATCAGGTTGCTCGGAGCCCCATCCAACCTGACCTGGAATGTTTCCATGGATGGGGCATCTACCACCTCTCTGGGCAACCTGTGCCAGTGTTTCACCACCCTCACTGTGAAAAATTTCTTCCTTATATCTAGTCTAAATCTGCCCTCTTTTAGTTTAAAACCATTGTCCCTTGTCCTGTTGCAGCAGGCTCTGCTAAAAAGTCTGTCCCCATCTTTCTAATAAGCCCCCTTTAAGTACTGGAAGACTGCAGTAATGTCTCCCCAGAGCCTTCTCTTCTCCAGGCTGAACAACCCCAACTCTCTCAGCCCGTCCTCATAGGAGAGGTGCTCCATCCCTCTGATCATTTTTGTGGCCCTCCTCTGGACTCGCTCCAACAGGACCGTGTCTTTCCTGTGCTGAGGGCTCCTCAGCTGGATGCAGTACTCCAGATGGAGTCTCAGCAGAGCAGAGTAGAGGGACAGAATCACCTCCCTTGACCTGCTGGCCACGTTTTTTTTGATTCAGCCCAGGATACAGTTGGCCTTCTGGGCTGCAGGCACACATCACCAGCTCATGTCCAGTTTTTCATCCACCACCACCCCCAAGTCTTTGTCGGCAGGACTGCTCTCTATCCCTTCATCCCCCAGCCTGTATTGATACCGGGGGTTGCCCTTACCCACTTGCAGCGGCCTGTTGTCGGCAGGACTGCTCTCTATCCCTTCATCCCCCAGCCTGTATTGATACCGGGGGTTGCCCTGACCCACGTGCAGGAGCCTGCACTTGGCCTTGCTGAACTTCATGAGATTCACACGGGGCCATTCCTTGAGCTTGCCCAGGTGCCTCTGGATGGCATCCCGTCCCTCAGGCCTGTCAACTGCACCACTCAGCTTGGTGTCATCTGCAAACTTGCTGATGGTGCTCTCAATCCAACTGTCCGTGTCATTGATGAAGATGTTAAAGAGTACTAATTCCAGTACAGACCTCTGAGGGACAGCACTCATGTCCGATCTCCATCAGGACATTGATCTGTTGACCACTACCCTCTGGATGTGTCCATAATTCCTCATCCACCAAACAGTCTACCCATCAAATTCATCTCTCCAATTTAGAGAGAAGGATGTTGTGGGGGACTGTGTCAAAGGCCTTACAGAAGTCCAGATAGACAGCATTGGTAGCCCTTCCCTTGTCCACTGTTGTGGTCACTCCATCATAGAAGGCCACCAGGTTGGTCAGGCAGGGCTTGCCCTTGGTGAAGCCTGTCTCAAGACACTCTGAAGCTGGCTGTCTCAAATCACCTCCCTGTCCTTCATGTGCCCTAGCACAGCTTCTAGGAGGATCTGTTCCATGATCTTCCCAGGCACAGAGGTGAGGCTGACAGGTTGGTAGTTCCTAGGGTCCTCCTTGCTACCTTTTTTTAAAATAGGTGCAATGTTTCCCTTTCTCCAGTCTTCAGGGACTTTACCTGAAATATCATGGGGAGTCGCTTGGCAACTACATCAGCCAATTCCCTCAGGACTCTGGGATGCAAAATGAGCAAAGCATCTCACTTCAGTATCTGCCTCTGACAGGCATGTTCAAGCTGCTTCAAAAAAAGGTTGTTAAGAGGATTATCAGCAAAGATCCAAAGTCTAGACCTTTGGATTGGAAAACATGCACTGTAAATGAACCAAGAAATGCTAGTCCATTGCTTTAAGGACTGTAAGTGTCTCATAGATTAATCTATGTGGTGAAGCAATTTGAGGAAGGAGTGGGAAGATCGAGTTACCCACAAAGTTCCCGCATGGCCATGAATCCATGGCTTATTGCTAGTAACCTACATAGTTTGAGAACAGGCTCTGCTGGATGGCAGGAAGATCCCCAGGTGGGATCAGAATTTCTTCCTTTTCAGTCATGTGTCTTATTGCTCTGGATCATGTGCATAGTATCAGAAAGCGTTGAGGTCAGGATGTGTTTACTCTTCTGTTATCTATTGTAAATTTACTCCATCTCTTCCTGCTTTGTCGCTTCTGTCTGTCTCAGTAAGTCACTGAAGAAGTGGTAAGTTTGTTGTTTTTTTTTAATTTATTTCGTTCTGCTCAGATTCTGACAGTGGAATCACTCATGGCCATATGGGTTATGTGTTTTCGAAGACATACACACCCACAGATGACAGCTATGGATGCCTAGCTGGCAACATCCCTGCCCTTGAATTGATGGCTCTTTATGTAGCTGCAGCCATGCATGATTATGATCATCCAGGAAGGACCAATGCCTTTTTGGTAGCGACAAGTGCTCCTCAGGTAAATAAATAGCAAGCAGCATTGCTGTTATGTTTGGAAGGTCTTTGGTAACAGCTTCTCCTTGCCAGTGGTGTCTGTGGCTTTCATTAAGCAAAAGTCTACCAAATATTTTGAAACAGCTTATCAAAGTGACAGAAATAGTCACTTCGCTTGGGGATTATCAGTAAGAGTCTTCTTACACACCCTCACCACACTCAGTTAAGAAATAGCTGTTAAGAAAGATACTGATAAAATGGCTCAGTGAAGGAGAAGCTAATGCTCTGTTGACTCACAGAGGCTCTGTAACTGTGAAATAAGGGAAGAATTATTCTACCCAGTAAGGCACAAGAAAGATTAAAATAGAATAAAAAACACCTGTATAGTTGACAGTGCACCATGCAAGATAGTTTGTGCATGATTGTAACATATTTTCTGCTCTTCCTATAGAATATGAACAGCTGCAGTCTTTTATTAATGTATTTTCAATTATGCATCTATCAGGGCTGGGGGTGTGGTGTGGAAAAGAATCTAAGCTTTATAAATGAGGAATTGAGACTTACCTAAGGTTACACAGAAGTTGCTGCCAATGCTGGGAGTTGAATTCAGCAATTCTGAGTCACTGTTTATTGGCTTAATTATGAGATCATCTTTCTTTACATAGCTGACCTGCCTGGCTTCAGCATACTGTGCTGAAAAATGTTTCTATGGACAAGGAAAGAGAAAAAGATAGCTTAATGGTGAGAGGTCAGGTAGGGATGCAGAAATTCTAGATTTACTCCCCAACTTGGATCCAGACTTCCTCTCTCACCAAGAGCAAGTCACCTGAACTTGCTCTGTATCAGTTTCTGTCTCTAAACTGATAGTAATATTTCTCATCCTCGCAACATCTTTCTGTGATCAAGAACTTCGATACTCTGGCCAGGTAAATAGATTGATAGAAGGTGTATGCTATCCTTAAATCTGTTTTTAAGAAACGAGTAGCTTTGTGGTTGTAAAAATCAACAAGGGAAGTTAGATGATTAGCCTTAATGTATTGTCCCTAGTTTGAAAATAAATTAATGGGAAAAATTCAAATTCTTCTTGTTATTTTTGAGGATTTTGGTTTGTGGTTCGGGGTTTTTTGTTTTTTGGGGTTTTTTTTAATCTGATATCATCTGAAATTTGCAGAATTTGTATTTGGCATCTGCTTTTTTTCTTCTTTTTCACAACAAGCAGAATCAGCTTCCAGTAACGATAAAGTGCTGCTGTATTAAAAATCTGCCCTCAGGAGTTGGGCCTAAGTAACGGAATATATCTATCTCAAATGTTTACTGTGCAGTTAGGCAAGATAGGCAGTAAAGCTGCATTGCTTCAGCAACCTGTGCTCTGGAGTAAAGAATATATTCCAAAATTTAGGATAGGATTGAATTTTTTCATCTCTAGATGCAATTGAATGCAATTGAATTTATCTCTAAAATGCAACTGAAATGGAAAGCCACTGGAACATATATGTATATATTTGTGTAAAAAGTTACAAAACTTGCATCTATTTTACATAGAAGCTTTTCTTTCCATAAACCAAATTGTCAAAAGACTGAATGCTTGTGGAGAGATTTCCTGCATGGTTATTGTCCCCTAAGGTCCATTTTATAGATCGCTCTTTAGTTGCTGAATAGAATTGCCATCACTATGAGAGTTACGCATCCTGTTTTGGTAAAGATTTAACCAATTTTGGATTTTAGCATTGAGGAATCTGTCAGGCTGTGTGTGTCAGGTTGCAAACTGGAATTTCACTTGTTTCTGTGTTTGGAATCAGTCCAACATGGACAGAATTGCCAGGTACGAACACCAAAGACAATAATCCCTCTTAAATGAGGTTAGGTTTGAGAAACAGGGAAGCACAAACCTATATTGTATTAGTCATTAATTTGTGGATTGAAACAGAATAATCTAATGTCATATGATGCATTTCAGTCAGGAACTGAAGACCCTTGAGCATGAAAGACCCAGTTTTTTCAAATCAATTTTCCAATAAATCTTCACCATCACAACAGTTCAGGTGTCTGCTATTAGGCCTGCCAAAATCACATCTCCAGACCTCGAGAAGTTATTTAAAAAAAAAAAAAAAAAAAAAATCAACCAAACCCAAACCTCCCTCATGCATCATCCCCATGTCATTCTCATTTCTGCACGGCAATGTCCCTTTTGCCAAGGGGTTTGTCAGCTTTCAGCTGCCCACATTTCTTTCACAGGCGGTGCTGTACAACGACCGCTCTGTCCTGGAGAACCACCACGCTGCTGCTGCCTGGAACCTTTTCATGTCGAGGCCAGAGTATAACTTCCTGGTCAACCTCGACCACGTGGAGTTCAAACATTTCCGCTTCCTCGTCATTGAGGCAATTTTGGCTACTGACCTGAAGAAACACTTTGATTTTGTTGCCAAATTCAACACCAAGGTAAGAAGATTGGTTCGGGTTTCTGGTGGATGGATAGAAAAGATTGTGGGGCTTGGTAGCATCGCAGTGAAAAGGCTAGAAAGGCTGTTGTGTTGCTCGCTTTTCTGAACGTCCTTTTGGCTGCTGTAAAACATTCTACTAAATAGTGATCTGGCACTTCTGTTATTTTTTACTTATTTAGGTTTAGTGGCACAGCTTCTTTTATTACATATGTTTAGTTTTTTCAGAAAGTGGTTTAAGGCTAAGGATATTATGGACTATTTCAATGTAAATCCCACTTACATCCCACTTTTCAACATTGTTTTCTTGTTCCCTGGCCCTTTAGACTTATTAGCAAAGTGCTTGGGGGGGAAAAAAAATCAAGGGTCGTACCAATTTTCCATAATGGATAAATGCTTAATACGAATTTTTATTGGTTTAATCGTACTGTTACATTACCAAAGCACAGAAATCATAACAATTTTAAAATTCTAATTTCAAATGCAATGAAAGCATGATCTTTCTTTCCTACTTCATTTCAAATCGGTAAACCCCAGAGAAAGGTCACTAAAGATCTTTCCTGCATGCTCCCTTCTATGAGTACAAAATTGCAACTCTGGGAAACCGTTTTTAAAAATTATTGTACAGTTTCAACCTAACACATTGGAAGTTACTTTAAAAAACTCCATCATCCATCGAAGCTATTGGCATATTATCTAGATTATACCTGCCTTTGGAGATGGTACCACCTTCCTGTTCCTTGTGAAAAACACACCAAGCTCAGTGTGTTTCTCATCCATGACTAGGACCTCTTAGTTGTTTAAGATGTTTTGATAAACATGATAAAATGTTTTCTTGTGGTATTGCTTAGGGTGAACCTGTATCCTGAAATTGTGAAGCCTGCAGGTGTATGACTGGCTTTGTTTTCCATTTCCCTGCAACATGTCTCTCTCTGTTAGGCCTTAAGAGAAGCTGTAAAGAAAGGCCTTAAATTATGGTCCAGAGTAGACAGAGAACTGATTTGTAGACCCGTAACAGTCTGAACTTTTTCTGCACCCTTGATAGTCATGTCCCAAAATCTCCATTGATATCAGGGGGATTTCTTTAGGTCTTAATTTTAAACTCTGGGATCGTTTTCGCTGGCCTGATTTCCTCATAAAGTATTGAACAGTATTGGCAGATTCTCATCTGTCAGGGCTACAATGACAATAAAGCACGGGTAGCTTAGACCATCTGAATACATCCTTTGAATTTGACAGTTTAGACCAAAACCTTCACTTCAGTGAACATAAGTAAGGAATGAAAAAAGACAGGCTAAACCAGTGATTCCTGTGGCTTTGTCACAGGGATTAACTGTCTTAACTGTGGAAGAGGACAAGCTTAACCAAAGTACTAGGCATAAATAGTGGATATCGAAAGCTAAATTTGTCTTAAATCCATCGGGCTGGACAACCGCAGGTATAACCACTGTTGTAACCAAGCAAGGTGATACTTGAGACACTGCAGATAAATAGGAGAGTGGTCTGATGTATCACGTCCTGCTAGCTTGCTATAGATTTGTAAGGAAATCTGTTAACCTCCTTGTCTCTCCTTATTGCTTGAATAGTCAAATGGTCATGGAATAAAAAGTGGAGGAGAAGGTGATATATGAAGACATGTTAACCAGTGCTTGTTTCTGAGCCTGGCTTTCCCAGAGTAATCACTGCCTTAAAAAGAGATTTTTTATGTTTGGTTGGCAAAAACATTTTTGTACCAGAGTGGTCTCAGAGAGCAGACCTGACATGGTTGTATATGGGTGGAGGTGCTGTAACTGATAAAATTAGCTCTTAATGATCACATTATTGATCAGGTTGCTGAACGGTAGTTTAGTACATTGAGGCTACAGTCAGAGAGACCCTTTTGTGCAGAAGTCAGTGTAAACTCATGTAATGTAAGCATCCTCCCACCAGAACACTTGCATTCTGGAAAGTACCAATAAGAAATAATGAAAGAAGCTCACTGTCCGACACTTTGATGACATCAATGCATTGGAGCACTTACTGCTCTCTGCCATTAGTTCTGTTGGATCATGTATGCCAGAAGCAAAGCGCTCACCATGTGGGCCCACTGCTGTATGGGGCAAGGGACCTGCTGACGGAGGACATGGAAGTTTCTAGTCATAGCATAACAACTTTCTATCCATTTTCAACTATTGCAAGCTTGACAATTAAAGCTGTGTTTCAAGGAGGGATTTGAATTTCAAAAACTAAGTGGACAGTAGAAGACAGCCCCTCCCACACTAGGAGATACTCTAGGAGAAAAGGCTGAAATGGGAAAATGGGACTAATGGCAGGTAAGGTTGGTATCGCTGATCATTTGGAGATGTAAAAGGCCGAAGTTCTCAGTGCTTTCACAGCCTCACTCTTTCTGGATAAGACCTGGCTTCAGGAATCCCAGGCCCCTGAGATGTGAGACGAAGTCTGAAGTGGTGAAGACATCCTCAGTGAATGGCATCAGGTTATGGAGCAATTAAACAAACTGGACACACACGAGTCCATGGTACCTGATGGGATGTAGCCATGTGTATAAATACCTGATGGGGAGAGTAAAGCAGATGCAGCCAGACTCTTCTGAGTGGTATCTGGTGACAGGACAAAAGACAGTGGGCACAAGCTGAAATAGAGGAGTCTTCATTTAAAAATAAGAAAGGATGTGTTTACTGTGATGGAGTTGTACATTGGAAGAGGTTGCCTGGAGAGGTTGTGGAGTTTTCCTCCTTGGAGATACGCAACACCGAACTGGACATGATCCTGAGCAGCCTGCTGTAGCTGGCCCTGCCTTGTGCAGGGGGGTTGGTCTAGATGATCTCCAAAGGTGTCTTCTAACCTTAGCCTTTCTGTAATTTTTTAAGGTGATGCTTTTATTTTAGAGCAGTTGATAGTATATATCCCTTTTTATTGTGGGTGGCAAGGGAAAAAGAGAGAAAAGGAAAAAGAAAGCGAACACTTTCAGATATACTTGGATCAAATAGGGAAATAAGCTTGTTACATGTATCTTCACGCTGCAATTAAATCAGCATGGCACTTGATGGTAATTTATCTTTGTATACCAATTAAGTAGTAACTTCTTGGAAATGTCATGGAAAGATTGCATTTGTTTGTTTTCCTACCAAATGCTTTCAAACAGGCACAGCATTTGCTAAATATTAGTTTCTCATAATTTATCTCAATGTTCCTTGGTTTTCACTTATTTTTTTTTTTTACATATTGCTTTACAGCTGATTGTAAATTCCAATCTTGGGTTAGTTCACCTGCTTACACTTGTGATTTTGTAAATAGCTAAATATACTGTAAGATATCCCAGGACAGAACTTCTTCTGTGGATGCATCCTTTTACCCAGGATTACTGCCATGGTTTTCCTTTTTCTGTCTACTAGGTGAATGATGATGTTGGAATTGACTGGACTAATGAGAACGACCGCTTGCTGGTTTGCCAAATGTGCATCAAACTGGCCGATATAAATGGGCCTGCAAAATGCAAAGATTTGCATCTGCAGTGGACAGAAGGCATTGTCAATGAGTTTTATGAACAGGTAAATAAATGCATGTCCAAAGTGGTATCTGCTGGTTGCATGTCTTATGTTAAACAGTCCTGCAGCATGCTAGTGCTGGTGATGAGTGAAAATCACAGATAATAGAGGTGAAGGGGATGGCTAGAGTTACACTAGTCCATCCTTTTGCTGGTTTAGTGAAAGTCCCTTTGTCACTGAAGCTTCTGATGTGTCCTCAAAGATCTCTGATGATGGGGTTTCTACAGGCTTAACTGTTCCAGTCTGGAACTGTCCTTACAGTGGATATGGCAGACAAATTTTCCTTTCCTCTTTTTTTTCTGTTGGCAGTCATCTCCTTTTCTGTCTTCTTTAGTGCAAACTACCTTTTCATCCTTCCTTCTATGTCTTTTCAAGACATCAGCAGGTTCTCATTGCTTTTCTCTGCAGTCACTTCAGGTGGCTCACACTTTTACTGACATGTGGTCTCCAAAACTGGACACAACATCCTTGTTGAGATGATCTAAACAGAGCAGAGGAATTATTTTAGCTTCGCTGCGGGCCATGTCTCTGTTCACACACACAGAACCTTTACGTACTGAGCAGGACTGTAACATTGACTTTCAGTTTATCACAGACTAACCATATCTGTGCCCTACACGTTGATCCTGACTCATATTTCATGTTTTAAGAGAACACTTTCAGCTTTCAGAAGGTTTGTCAGTACAACTGCACTAATTACGCAAGGCTCAACTGATGGTGGCATGAGGAAGGAGGACAGCCACAGATTGATTTACAAAGACCTGGGAACAGAGCCAGGCACTGGTCCTCTCCTGCCAGGTGTAAGGGAGCCCTTAATTGAACCTTTTCTCATTATAACCTATTTACCCCTGCTGAGTGCAAGGAACAGGGCTGTTCCCACACTATTCCTCTGTTTCCCCGAGTGGGAATATATTTTGAATGTGCTGGTTAGACTAAATTCCACATCCTGTCTTTTTGAGTGGAAGCAAGCAGGTTAAATCACTGAACCAGACACCCCAACAGACTTCTTGGGGAGCCTGTGCAGCAACCTGAAATCACAGAGTAATCCCTTTTAAAGCCTTTTCATCTTCCCTTAAATTTACTGTACTTACAGTTTGAAGAAAAAAAAAAACAAACAGGGTTTCCTGCTGCTGCTGCCTTCTGCAGTATGGAAAGAAATGGGAAAAGGGATAAAATCCAGATGTTGACCTGAAACTTCTTCATTTATTTCAGATCTCCTGAGAAAAAGAAAGAACATATATATATATATATATGTTGCATATATAGTTGGTTCCATTTTTCTTTTCTTTTTTTTAAAGAAAGTGAGTCCCATAACTACAGTGGTTAACCTTCATCTCCCAAATTGTCTTTTAGGAAATGCTTTTCTTCATATTTGTCTGTTTTCATTACAACTTTCCCAACAAATTGTACTTCACTTAATTCTGGTGATGATCATAGCTTATGTGGGTGACTACTGCATGCAGACAAAACCTGTTAATCGGATATAGGATGACTCTCCTTTGATCCAGCATAACTAATGTCAGAGGGCAGTAAGTGCTCTAACACATTAATATTGTCAAATTCCTGGATAGTGAGCTTTGAATCAAGCTTGGGAGGAGCACATGTGGGACAACACTGTGTTATCTGTTCCACAGTAGGAATCTGGGTTGTTTTCCATCAGTCAGAAAGGTGTGCTACTGTTTTCATGCTCTTGGAAGCTTCACCAAAGGACTGTTGGAGATTATGTTTCTTACAATCCTGTAACTAAAAAAAAAAAAAAACCCCAAGCAAAAAAACCCCAAACATTTGAGATTTATCATCTCTGCAAAATTTGATTCAGAATAACACATATGTTATCTTTGTTAATAGCATTCCTTTTGGCATGGGTATTGTGGGCAAATGTGTTTGAACTCTTGGCTTGCAAATTCCAAGAGGTCACATAGTAAGATATGAAGATGTTTTGGTTTTATTTTAATAGAAGATGTGTGTTCACTGTATTGAGGAATCAGTATGCCCCAGTGGCTTTCCTGGTTTGGTTTTTTTTGTATGGCAAGAGTTGCCATGCTGCCAGGATGCTGATGGGATTGAAAACAGGGAACATTTTCTTCCTAGGAGTTACTTTTGGCATTAAAGAGGATAACCTAGATTCTCAATTTATTTAACCTAGGTTAAAATCTGATTTTCATTAATGTACTGTGCTATGAGAGATGTAGCAAACCATCTTCGCCATGCTTTTGATCATCCTTTTTTTTCTGAGAAGGGAAAAGTCTTCATGTTCTCATTTCTAAAAAGGATAATTTTATGGGAAGTTTAAATTTCCCTAGAATTGTTATTAAAAATCATATATATGTACATTCCACCTATGCTGTGAAAATAATGAAATATCTTTCTTAAATTTCCTTTAATAAACACCAATTCCTTTGAAGAATTTAACTCCCATATAAATAAAAACTCCTTATTAAAAACATGTTGCATAGAAACATTAAAAATGCTGTATCATATTGTTACAGTATGTTTCCTGTTTTTCTCCACATGCTCAGCATACTTGTTTGAAGACAGATTAGACATATTAAAAAGAATCAAAAAATGCCCTGCAAGGTATTTCACATAATAAATCACGTTTTAACGGAACATGAAAACAGAACTTGTATACATTTCAATAGTCAGCTTTCTAGTAGGAAGTCTCAGATGAGTACTGTAAAGAAGAGTGAGGTGCCACCTCTACTTAATGTACTTGCTATTTCAAGAATGGATGGCATGTTTCAGTGTTTTGTTAACACTAATATTTTGCATTTAATGATTGGACATAACATTTTGGGGTAGGTTGTTATAAAAGTTACTAAACAAAACAAAAGGAAATGAGACATTTGTTGTACATGCTTCAAAATTTAACTCTTATTCTTTGACCTTCACAGTTATCAACAGGGTGTTGACCAGATATGTTGTCCTTGACTTTTGGAAAATTTAGATTACAAGGAGATGAATTTGGGCAATCTGTAGCATAATGGAAACTGAAAATGTCTCTCCAAATTCTAATCTATATTCTCAAATATAGATCTCTGTATGGTATTAAAACAGTAATTTGTATATCAAGCTTCATTAGGGGGATTAGATTTTTTTCTCGGGGAGGTGGCATCCACTACTGAGCTGAAAATTCATTGATATCACCAGAAGCTTTGCTGTGATAGCTGTGAGTGAATATCTCAGACTTGGTTCTGCAGGAAAGTTTTAACCTTCTTTCACATCATAAGAGGAGGGAAAAAAAAGTCTTCCTATACCTCCCCTCTACTCTCTCTCCCCCAAAAAAGCTAGCAAAAAGCTTTATGGGAAAAATTTACTGCTTCTGAGTAACCACTGCTTTCATAGGGTTCATTCTAATAGTCTCAGGAAACAAATACTTATGACCCAAAGCCAAGAGGACCTCTCTCTGTTATGGGTTGTAAGGACAAAATTAATAAGAAAACTAGTTCAGTGAGATAACCCTTGCGTATAGAGGTTCAATCTTGTTCCCTGCAAACAAGTGGCTGACTACAAGGTTCTTGTGAGCTAACACTCACAAAATCAGAAGAGATTTTTTGAAAATAATGTGAAGAAAGAAAATAATAATTTTCAAATTTTCACACTCACAGTGTAAAGTACAGGACAAGGGCGGTGGGCATCATTTTGCACAGTCATCAACTAACATCCTTGTTAAATTCACACTGTCGTCAGCAGGTCCTCTTACAAGAAAAGAGCTGTAACTTCGATTAACCATTTGACGTGATGGCACTGTAGTAATGTCATGCTGGCATGCTATGAAAGTGGCTGTGGGCTGAATTATTTTTCTTTCATCATTTTTAATTGGTTTGATGTGCATTACTGCTTTTCGTGACACGGTTTTGTTGCATTTACTTCAGAGAAATTACCGCTATTTTTCATCTCCAGGGTGATGAAGAGGCTAGCCTGGGCTTGCCAATCAGTCCTTTCATGGATCGCTCTGCTCCTCAGCTGGCACACCTCCAGGAATCTTTCATCACTCACATTGTGGGACCACTATGTAACTCCTATGACTCAGCAGGTCTGATGCCAGGAAAATGGATAGAAGATAGTGATGAATCAGGAGACACTGATGAGCAGGAAGAGGAAGAAACAGCAGAAATGGAAACTTGTGAAAATGCTGAATCCAGTAAGTTGTTCACACTTACATTTTTCAACAGAGCAAGTTCTCTATTGTGACCAAAAAATAAGCAGCCATATTGTAAAAGCATAGAGTCTGTGAGCTGGTCAGGTTCAGTATGGGCCTCTCCAGAGTTATAGTGATTCAGTGCCGTCCTTGGTGAAGCTGGCATGTAGCCAGTTATGTTGGTAATGGAGGCGCTCCATGGTTTCAGGACTGATACGCATTGCTGTTCATACCTACTGCTCATGTCTACCTTCAACTGAGGTTTCTGGTGGTGAATCACCCATGTCTGCATGAGGGATTTTTAGACTATTTCAGCACTGATGTTAGTAGACTGCAGCAATTTCAGTTGAAGGAGAGATGGCTGGGAGAAGATTTTTTGAGGAAAGCACTCCTCATTTTCATGAGTTAGCATGATGTACAGGAATAATAGAATGAGGCTCTGAGATACTGATGCACTGAAGGAGTTTTGGATGTATTTTAATGCAAATCTCTTCAAGGTAATGTGTGGAGAAGAGTGGGGAGAGAATCAGCACTGAGCATTGCTGTTTTGCGTGCTGGGAGCTGCAGTCACTTGGCCCTTCTGGCTAATCGGTAACTAAAGCTGATAGTCTCCTGCCTCTCCTCCAGAAGGGCAACAGTGCCGACATTTGTCATACTGAGAGGAAAATTTTGTACCTTGAAAGGAGATCTCAGGAACTCATTGGAAGTGATTTGTGAGAAGAGGCTGCAACTGTAGACCTGTTTCTTTTACCAGTTTAAACCTGCATGTATTACCTTTTCCCCTCTTTTGTGTTCCTCCTCCCTCTGAATTTCCTACTTCTGTTCTTTGATTTCCCTCCTCTGGGTCAGCTTTCTCTCCCTCTCCTATAGCTAGTCCTTCTAGAAAGCACTAGCCTTAACTGCACTACTGAAATACTGGTACATAGCTTTATCTCTTAACGGCCTCGCTTTTTCTGTTCTTTTACACACACTTTCATGCCCTACTGAGTATCATCCCTATTTTCTGTTGGGGAAGCTGAGAAGCAGAAAAATTTGATGATTGCAATAAGTGACATAAGGACGTGGAACTAATATCTACATCTCATGATGTGCAGAACTGACCTTTTTTCTCTAGTAAGATCCAGGCGTACACAGTTTGTATTTAAGAAATCGTTGCGGTTGTTCACACACACACTTGCATGTATTTTAAGTTTAGCAGGTTCACATGCACAAAAAATGTTGTTGAGGACAGCAAACATTAAGTAATATGGCACACATAGGTTTATTTTAGCACCTTATGATCAATGAGCTCTGTAATAGCAGGCAGAGCCTCATGTTTCTGTGGCAGATTGGCATTTATGGAATTGCCTACCGGGGAAAGTGTATGTGATTGGTATCCAACATAGACTCCAAAGCCTGAAACTGATATTGCTGTATGAAAAAGAAAGATGAAGGATGTTCTCGTTTATCCATTGGAGTGTCTAATCTTACTTTGAAATCCTTAGTTTCCTTTCACTTCATTTCTATATTCACTCACCTTCTGTCTCGCCGCTGGTCAAGTCTAACAATGTTGCTCTCAGGTTCAAAGCACAAACCATTATTAACCCTTGTCACATTGAAAACAGACCATTTTTTAGTTGTCTTCTATTTTCTTTTTCACATTCTTCTCCATGACAGTACTTTACTATTCAACCTGGTGCTTTTAGGCTCTTTATCTTTTTCAAAACATTAAAAATTAATGTATCACAAGTTTTGAAATATCCAAACAAATTCTTTCTAATTTCTTCTTGCCAAATGTGGGGTGCTCATCTTCTCAATCATACCAACGTGTTGCAAACTGTTTTCTTCCAGTTCCCTAAATTCTCTGTGACTGTGTGGGTCTGAATCAGAAATCTATGGCATCTTTTGTGTCAATACAGGGGTCTTACAGGTCATTACAAATTTATACCTATGATCAACACAATTTTAGATGTTCTAAACTTTCTCAATGAAACAAAAGGCTGAGATGTCAGATGCATAGGTATTAAGAGTTGTGTAGATGTTGGTGAAGATCTTTTTTGTGATGGAAATGTTTTTTAGGCAGGTGGAAATATAATTGTGGCAGAAAACACTTCACCTAGGTCCTGATAATTCACTAAAGCAGTTGAGATAAATCTAAGAGTTGTAAAACCTTAAGATAGTTTAAAATCATTTTTGTTATTATACAGGAGCATGTAATTCCCACGAAGTGCTAATGCAAATACAAGAATTAAACAGGCTTGATCTTTAGTGATTTGGACAAATTTTAACTCCACAGCAAGTGCTTGCTGGTGTCTGCAGAGAGCAGCAAGATGCGGGGTCACCCAGGAAACCCAGGAGAGAATGTCCTGCCGCGGCATTGGCAGGGTAGGGGCTTCTTATTAGGGCTAAACCTGAAGGTTTCCTACTGGGAACCAAGGGCTTTCTAATGAAGGATTGAGTTGGATTTGGTCTGCGCTCAGTGAAAAGCTCTTTGTTTCCAGTTCAAAAGCTTCAAGGGCTAAACGTTTTGGATCCTGACACAGACATACTTTAGGCAACCTGCAAATACTAATCCACACAAATTTATTTGGTACAAGACATTCCTCTACGTCACCTTCTTTAAAAAAGAAATCAGCAATTGTCTTTGGAGGAGTTATTATTTCAGTTCTGTGACTGCCATTGCCAGTGTTAATGAGCAGGGAAAATTTTGAAGCTTTGTACTGTTAAGGAGTTGACAATCTGTGTTGGACAGGCTATATTGACACAGAAAAAAACACACTTCAGATAGCAAAACACTTGTAGAGCAGCTGTGTCAGGAGCCATGAGAACTACCAGTGGCAAAAACATTTCATAGGTTAACAGCAGGGGACTGATGCTTCAAAACCAAAGGCAAGCGAACTCCCTGATAGTATTTGGCTATATGACTATATACTTTTTCAGTGGTCAGACTCTGCTGCCAAAGCAATGTTGTGCAAAGGCTTTAAGGTCATCTCCAGTGCTATCGTGGAGTGGTAAATCTCTGACGTTGAGAAGGGAACAGAGGAATGGGTTGCTTCCTTTGATTACTAATCCTTGCTTATTCATTATCCTTCTACAGCTCAGATAAGAGATAAAATGTGGAGAAAACAAAATCAGGACTTTTTTTCTAGGGCAATCAGCAGAGATCCATTGGCAGCAGGGGAGCACAGAATTTAATGTGTGTGTGTTATGGAGTAGGTTGATCAGAGTCTTGAAGTTCTTGTTATGAAAAAAGGATCAGAAACAGCTCAGCAACGTTTTATGCACAGTCATTCAAGTGCTGGATGTCTCTGTGAGTTGCATAGCCAGGGGCAGCATGCAGCCTATGATAGGATGAAGCTGGGACTGAACTGTGGAGGACACAATTTTGATTTCCCAGAGCTCTGGAGAGGCATAGCTTTCTGAATTTTAAGACTGTTTGAGTTTGTGGTTTAAAAAATCTGCCGGTGCAGTTCCTATATGTCATAGTACACCCTGTCTGCTTCCTACAACTTCAGTCCCTTTTCCTTCTTCTCTGACAGAAAACAGCACATTAATGTCACACGGTATTTTACAGGAAAGAAGACATTTAAGAGGAGGAAAATCTACTGTCAGATCACTCAGCACCTGCTTCAGAACCATAAAATGTGGAAGAAAGTAATTGAGGACGAGGAGAGGTTAGCCGGGACAGAGAAGCCAGGCGCAGAGCAATCCACGCTGCACCAATCTTCAGAACAAATCCAGGCCATCAGGGAAGAGGAGGAGGAGAAAGGGAAGCCCAAGAGGGATGAAGAGGAGAACACAACTGCAGAACCGAACCAATGACAATATTTACAGCAGTATTTTAAGACAGATTGACTCGTGCACAGACTCTTTCTCAAGCCAGCACAGCATTTAGACACAACACTGTAGAAGTATGGGATAATGCGCCTACAGCTGTTTAATTTGTTTCTCTTTCCTTTTTATGGTGAGGTACATTGTTTAAACTCCTATGCTCAAGGAAGCTTTCACACTGCGACACCGGCTTTTACAGACTTTCTTTAAAGAGATTTGGGGGTGGGTGGAATTATATAAATATATATATAGCCAGGGTTATTGGCTGTGCACTTCAGCAAAATACATTTAATGATATATTATGGTCACTGTGATATTTACAGAGGAAAGTTATCTAAGGAAATGCTGCTTCTAAAGCACATTTGCAATTAACAGTAAGGTACCGGTTAAGTAGCTTTCGCTCTTAATGATGAGGGATAAAAGTTCCAAAGCTTTACGTGAATGCTGATGTATCCTGCCAACGTATATGTGTGCGTGAGGGGGCGTTCGCAAGTGCGAGTGGCTGTAATGTAATATAGCACAGTTTGAGTTCTGATTACACTAGCTGTAGCACATGTGCCAGTATATGACAACAAGCAGAAGGCCCGAATTTTAGAGAATTTGTGCCCGCAAGGGGAACCGGAGACCATTTTGAGGAGCTTTGTGTTCCCCGTAGCCCTCCCAAGTCCCAGTTTGCACTCCAGCTGCAGGCAGCAGCCCCTCAGCGGGGGCCGCGGGGGCCTGGGCTGCTGGCCTGGCCCTGTCCGGCTGTGCGGGCTCCTCTTCCTCCTCCTCCTCCTCCTCGGCACTTCCCAGACTGCTGGCGAAAGGGACGTGCCAGGAAATTTATTTTCCAAAGGGTTAGGAGGGACTGTGTGGCACGCTGGCCTGCTCCCCGTGAGAGGACCTGGTGCTCCGTGTAACTTCCGAGTGCGTGAATGGCTGCGCGGGGCGGCGTGTGTGTTTGGGCAGGAGCGAACAGAGGGCAAGTGTCTGTGCGTACTCGGAAACTAGAGGCACGCCGTCATCTTCCTACCCTAATCTTAGCCTCCGTGCATCAGTGGCCAAATATATCATTTAAGAAGGAAGCTAAACGGCGTCTCTTGAGAACAAAAGGAGGGGAGTGTGGGGGCCATGCCCTTCCTCAGAATAGAAGGCAAACGATGCATGAGGCGCAGCGTGGGGGACAGGTGCCAGTCCTGCGTCAGCTGGGCACTCGCGTGTCTCAGCAGCCGCTCACACGAGCTTCAGAGAACTTGGTTTTTCAGTGTGAGGTGCTGGATGGGAGCAGTTTGTTGCTGGCATTCTGCTTAGAAGCAGCGTGTTTGAACACACCAATATACTTTTTTCTTTTTTCCTTTTTGTTTTTTTAAGAGAAAGGAAAAGATCAGGCCTGTAAGAAGAGCAGATCTTTTTTGTTGTTCTGTTTATTTGTTTTCTCTGTTGTTTATGCTGTGAGCCAAATGTCTATTTAAAAGGTTGGATATTCACTTTCAATATTTTATTTCACATATTATATTTGTCAATGATTAGCTATCTAGATGTAAATATGGAAGAATTTTTATGGGTTCCTGTAGATAATGATATCTTTAAGAAAAAAAAAGAAAAAGAAAAAAAGGGAAAAGGTTTTTTGTAAAGCTAATTTTTTAAAAAATAAATACGAAAACATTTTTATACAGTATAGCCATTTCCAAACCCAACAAATAAAGTCTTCAGTAATTTCTATAGACCCTCCTGGGAAGCCAGTGGTCTACAGGATCAAGGCTCTAAAATATTAATGCTCTTTGGGACTGGCAGCACCAACCGGTACCACACAATTTAGAGTTTTGTTCCCACAAAAAGAATTACATATATAAAGTTCAGTATCTCTGAAAAATCATTTGACTATGTATACTTTTTATATTTTGATCCTGCAGCCCCTTGCCAAGAAGAGGATTGCTTGTGTAAGAATGCTTGTGAAAGGAAGAGTTTGTAGAAGTCCTTTCTATATTAAATTTCTGACATTGCATCCACCACTTTTTGCTGTTGTTACACATTCACCATGTTTCATGATCCTATTGATACCTCCTCAAAAATGCTGCAAAACGTTCTCTATCAAAGCCAATCAGCATGTGTGTTATCACTTCAGAGTTTCTTTCTGCTTTGCATTTCCATTAGAGTGAGCTTTTGCTGGAAGACAGCATTTTGGTTTCTTACAGGCTGCGTTTGCCTGATATCGTCCCATTCTGCTCTTACCAGTAGAGAAGGCACTTGCCTTTACACAGAGTGACTCTAGAGCATGGCTCTGAATGCTCTTATCAGCAGAAGTATTTAGTAAGTGTTTTTCAATGAAATCAGAAAAGCAAAGATCCAAATTGCACTATTGTTTTGAAGGGAAAGGATGTAACAGAATTCATTCGAAAGAAAAAAAGATGCCTCCACCAATTCCTGCTTGCACTGTTTTCACGCCTCTTCAGTCACTTTGATTAATCATTTTATTTGGAGTTTTCTTGTACGAGTGATATGCGTACCTTATAGTATGAGAAGAATTTAATATGCCTCATTCTGTCCTTTAAAAATTAAACTTACAGAGATGTTTTAAAATGTCACATCTCCAAGCATTTTTTTCTCCATTCTCAGTGCATGATTACTGGGACTGGATTTTTTTATATCGATTTTTATATTTGCCTTTGCTAGAAGAAGAAAAAAAGAAGCTATTGCAGAAAGTGTTAGTGGGTGCCCAGTTGGTAAAATTATGAAAAAGTTTTCAAGAATGAGGGGAAATCCTGCAGGTGGAGTTCCACATACTCCCCGAAGCAGGCATACACAGGGCTGAACTAAGAAAAATTATGCTAAAAATGTGCTGAAAAGGAATTACTATTTTTCCTAGTCATCATTTTTGGTTCACATTAGGTAAAATCAGTGTCAACTTCTAATTTGTTAAGATTTCTTTCTATATTGCCAGTGCAAGTGTCACAAGTTGTTACTGCATTGCTACACAAGCCTGTTTGTGGGTACAGTTTGATTAACTCGGGTCTTTCACAGTGAAGGAATTGCTGACAGGCTTAAAATCAGAACGATTGTTGATTTTATCCAAACTGGAAGGAATACCAGTGAAGAAGCTAAAGCATCTGGGAGTGGTTAACTTGGTAAGAGGTGACTCTTTTTGGAATCCAGATAGTTACTAATAGAATCCAATTTCTGCAAGTATCCACTCCTTATGAATCTGATTTTCAGTCTTTGCAGTGCATTTCTGGCAGGCAATGATCAGGAAATTTCCCAGGTTGGCTTAAATATAACACGAAAGAAAATACCAGAGAGATCTTATATCAAACATGTGAATACCATTTTTTTGCTTTGGGTTTTTTTAGTAGATAATGAAGCAGGTAATTTTTTAGGGAGTTTTGTAATATTTTCTAGTTCAAAGGAGGCAAAACCTTTGACCTGCAGTTGCAGCAGGGCCTTTCTGAGGTTAGACCTTGATGGTTTTGGGCTTTGTGCAGTGCTTTGGTGTTGCAAACCCCAAATAAACCACAACAGCCTGTGCAATATTTTGGGGGAAAAAAATAAAGAAAAGAAAAATGATTGTATTCTATCAGCAAAGTGCTCAGATTTCAGGTGGGATGTTTACAGTATTGATACGGGTTTCTGGTATATGCAGTATGCAAAGAGGTTTGTTAGATACTAGAGAAAGCAAGCTCCATTTAAACAGTGTCTCGCAGTAGCAAAAAAATTACGTATTTTGGTTTTCAGTTCTTTAAAAACAGGAAGAGAAAGATTGGACTGTTTTTTTCCAATTGGATCTGTTTTTTCCACTGTAATGTCACTTGGTGACTGATCCTGTTCCTTTCTAGTCTGGGAGGTGTTTGCTGTGCCCTGAAATAAGGGGCTTGTTGCAGTGCATGCAGCTCCCTGAGCAGTGAGAAAAGCACTCTGCTCGTCACGTAGCACATACAAACCCTTTTGTCCCCGTATTCCCCATTTGCTTGATAGTCACGTGCTGTTTACTGTGCAATATAACTTTTCTCATTATGCTTGTCTTGCAGAAGGAACGCATGGAAGTAGAGAGTGTGAAAGCCCCAAACTATTTATTTTATTACCTTTTCTTTTAGGAGGAGTCTGAGACTTCCGTTTCCAAGAACGCAAAAATGCCTGTGTCTAAAAGTAATAATTCCCACCATGTTCAAAGGACCATAGTTTCCCATTTATGCTCTAATTCTTGAGGGAACCTGGCATTTCTTGATTTGTTTTGAGCTAAGGTACAGAGCGTGTTGACACTCATCTCTGAGAATCACCTGCCTCCTCTAGTAGGAAGGTGGTCTTTGATGCGATGTTGCAAGTCATGCGTCAGAAGTGAGTTGCAAGAATCTACTAGGAAAAAGGGATTCTGCTGTGGCTTTGGCAGCATTCTGAACTCCCTCCCTCTGTGAGTGAAATCCTTTACAGAAAGCTAGGGAAATGGCTGTGTGTCACCGGTGGCCTCCCCTGTGAGCTTGTGCGGGGTGCTGGCTCTCATAGCAAATGACAATCACATCCTGGCAGTAAATGGTTGCCAGGGCAGATGTCATTTGCGAATGCGTTTGTTAACAATGCAAGGATAGTGGTTGGTCAGTTTTACCCCAACATCGTGTGTGAACCTCTCTGCATCATCATCATCAAGTTAAAATCCAAGACTGCGATTGCTCAGGACCATTTGAGTGGATGCATTTGGGACTTTTACCCTTACTGTACAACTGTTAGAAGTTCTTAAGATCCTGATGGTCTGAATTTGGAAGGAGTTTAAGCCTGTAAAGGTTCAGATTGATGCTTCTAAAAGTACCATTTGGCTTTTAAGCAAATTCTGTACCCAGCTCCCTTTTTATGCTTTCCATGCTGGACATTAAGTTCATTTGTTTTCTTTAGGAAGTTCTCCTAAATTTCTATCTGCTTTTTAGACACACGAATTTTTCCAAAATTCTGGCCCCGTCTGTCTGTCTTCATTCAGAAATGCCCAAGAAAGTAGAATGCAGTGTGGAGAAGCCCAGGTTCTTGACAAACTGAGCATCAGTCAGTGGTACAGCCCATGAGGACTGGCCCAGTCTGTGCCCCAGTCTAGGTGCATTCGCACCCAGTGCCGTGCCCATGCTGCTGAGCTGGGAGCTGAACAGGTCTGGGGCAGCTGTCAGTTTGGGTACTCGGCAGCCTGAGCCCCATCAGCTTTTAGTGGGAGTTGGGATCTTAGAGAATTTTGTCAGTTTTCAAAATGAACCTTAGGCACTTTTGAAAATTTTGCTGTAAGTATAACGCAGCAAAAGGTTTGT